CCGAAGACATGATTTTATTGTGTTGAACGTAAACCATGCATACAAATGAAAATCTTTCAATGGTACAGAGTTCATTAAGTTACGCAAACGACCTTTTTGACCAGAGGTAGCTTCTATTGGTCACCTGATTCTGTCACTACGATCATCATATCTTAAAATCTAGAAAAAATAATAAAAAAAATGTTTATGATATGTTTCAGTTGCTTTTATTATATTCAAAAGCATATCATATATATAAAGCCTTTAAGCGAATTCGAATTCTTACCATGTGGTTACCAACATCTGCATAAAAATTCAACTTTTGACTTTTCTTCTATAAATTTCTCGTTTTTGCCTTTTTTATGTCATAAATATATGGGAATCAAGTCATTTAAAATGTTTACAGGTCCTAGGGCATACAAATTACAAACTTTAATGCCTTTTAATGTGCATTGCATAGAGCAATGGCAATTAATAACATGAACATAATTAATTCAAATCAGTCACTGTGTATCTTATCTAAACCAACACCCAAACTTTTTTTCTGAGAACTCTGATGAATGCACGCTGAATGTTGTGGGTTGTGTGAAGTGAATATAAAGTTATAAATACGAATATAGGAATACAAATAAAAAATATTCGTATTCGGTTTTGATTTAATTGGCTGAATGATTACTGGCGTTTCACGCCAGTTTCTGCACTATTGGGTATATCGTGGCGTCCAGTTTTTATTGGTGAGGAAGCTAGTGTCCGGAGAGGAACACCGACCTTCGACAGGAACACTGGTAATCCTTGTTAATTAAGATCGGGAGTCGAACGTACCGTGCTGCCACGGCATCCGATTTAATTGAAAGGGGTAGGATTAAATTCAAGACTTTGCACATAAGACTTCATCAAATGAAGCAATTAAAAAAAAAAAAATTAAAGAAAAGAAAATATTTCTTTAAAAATGCTTCTCGCTCTCACTGTTCCAATGTCTTATACCGGTATTTTGACAAGAGCGTGAAGAGATTTTGTGCCATTAATCAATAAACTATATCCCTTATTTCATATGCTTAAAGTCAATGCGAGATCCACTGAAATCAGAAATCTAATACAGCATGTTTAAGATGCCTTTTAAATTAATTTTCACTGAAATCAGAAATTAATAAAACAGCATTCTTAAGATGTCTTTTATACACAATTTTCTATATTCATAACACGTATATATATAACACGTCTATTTGAGAAAAATGACACAAAAATCCTATTAAAACGACAACATTATCATTTAACATATCGTGCACATGCTTCTAATCCATGTAGTTGCTATACAGTATTCAGATTGCACATTTTTTTATTTGTAATTATTTTTCATGAAACATATTTTTATTATTTAACGAAGGGCAAAATATAAAAATAAACAAATATTTACTGGTTTGATGACCAAACATTAATTTGAATAATATAAAATGCGACATCATTCACGCTTACTTTTAGTACAGCTGTTAAAATGTAAAACGTTTTTTGTGGGGTCCTTCTGAGTTAATTAGACCTTAGTTATTGCTAACATCCTGAATAAAATAACCGTAAAATTTGAAATGGCTACATAAAAGAGACAAAAATCATTGTTAAATGTCTTTCCAAATGAATTCACATCAAAGAGTAAGGACTAATAAAAGTCGTAACCGTCACACTATTTGTTTATCTCCTTTCGGGAAGTTTTAGCAACTCGTTTGAATGATGAATTTATACCCGGCTTGTAAGATCTTGTAAGACAAAACGACCTGAACTAATTGTTCTTTTAACAAATAGCGGAATAAATGAATTCAAACATAACACTATCACTTATCTCACGAGATTTAGAGCATCTCACGTTACCATCGTCTTCTTTTTAAGCCTACGTGTTTTCATACTTCATAATCACTTCAATTGATTATCAAAGATAAGTCAATAATATTGTCATCAGTAAGTGTGGCATCTTTTGTTTTAGAGGTTATTTGCACTTTTACATATCTATAACATCGACGTATTAATTACTTAATTGAAAAAGGGAATAGCTTATGTGTATAAACAATCCCACAAGATGCAAAAGACGTTTAATTAGTCAGATGCTTTTAACTGGACGACAGTTATTGTCCCATTGTCGAAGTTATAACAAGGCCGTAGATCTTTTCACTGATCTATATTGACTTTTTATATAATAGTCGTCATCAAGTAAATAAACGGTTGGAGTCGTTGATCAAGTCCAAGAGAAATAACTCAAATCTATTTATATAGACGTCTTTATTTCAATACATTCAGTCCATGTCACCTTATTTTTCCATTATTCAATTCCAAAATGTTTTAATAACTTTATTGATCGTTTTGTCACCATGCGGGATTATAGTAAAATGGTAAATTTTAAAGTTAACAATTTTGGAATTAGTTTTAGCAGAGACATATATGTCTCTGGTTTTAGTCTGAATAAGCCTGCAAATATAGAAATGAAGTTTCAATTTTAAGGAGTGTAAATTTTATTGCATATGACTTCTGAACTGCACAAAATTAGCTTACGACGTATTCCTCAAGTCAAATTTACTTTAGGATTTCTGTGAAGACAAAATAAACAGCATTTGAATAATTTAACCGAATATTTAATAAAGTTAAGGATAATAGAAAGTTTCTCATATAAACGATTGACACCAGAGATTCTCTTGATTGACACAAAGTGTTCACGAAAACATCTACAATTTAAAAATTACTTTTTTAAAAGATGATAAGAATCACTACATGCCTGCCTTCTGTTAACATTCTGAAATAAATAGATATTTGATAGATTTATTCTCTAGAATACTACCTACTTCTGGTGAAGAAAAAAAAACGGCATCAACTTACTATCACTAATGTCACATACAAGTTAAAATTTGACACACAATGGTGACATCGACAAAATAAATCTTTACTTTTATAGATAATTAGAATTACTATACCTACCTAATTGTGATTTAATATTCAAGAGGATTGTTTTTCTTTGAAGTATGGTATTGTGTTAGAAGAAGGACAATCTTTTTATTAATCTCGCATCTTTGAATTTTTCCGACCAGCATGTAGGAACTGGGAATGTCCGGGCAAAGGGAGATAACGCTAATAACATTAGAATCATATCGGATTTGTTAAGAATCGCAGAATTCCACTAGTAATATGGACTTCTGGTATCAGTAATAATGTTAACGGGAACACAAAGGTGAAAGTTGCAGACTGCATAACGGTCATAAAAAAGTGGATATGTCTTTTCATCTAAATATCTAGTAAAAATATTTGTGAGGTCACAGAATTCTACTATTGGGAGAATTAGCTTTCAAAGGTTTATAAAAAGTGCATTTCCAATAAGCGAGGAGAAAGTAAATTTGTGATAGGATAAAAACAATTGAAATAGCCACCTGTACAATCTTAATTAGATCTCTTTCTTTTAGAGCCACTTGTTTTCCTTAAAATCGGCAAAATCGTTCCTTCAATATTTGGTGCTCTATTTCCACCGTGTTGTTCCTTCGTGTTACTATACAGCATCCTAATTGTTCCATACAATGTTAAACAGTTTATGATTTTTGGTCTGTAGAATTAATCTTTTAATAGAGGATGTGTTCGATCGAATCCAGGATATACAACATTAGTATGCGTCCCCAATGTACTAACAGTGGAAAGGGAAAAGCAACTGTTTTCTCAATTCTCCGTTTATAGTCGTTTCTTTGTATTAGACATTATCTATAAATCTCAAATGTCGAAACTGGTGCTTATATTGTGTTCTCTACTGCATGACTAGCAATTTTAATCCATGGTCTGATGTCCGGCTTCATACCCCCCCCCTCCCCCATTAAAAATGTTACCTCGCCGATGATCAGTATGATGGTTTTTCTGCTGTCTATGTCTCATTGATTACATCATCTGTTGAAATATTTCTTAACTCCCAACACGAGCATGTGGTAGTGCTTTCCTTCATTTCTGTCTGGATTATATTGGAATACTGCATCTCTTGTTGAAATCTATTTTAGCAGGAAGACGACTTAAACCATTTGCATCTGCATTGCCTTTCCCTAGTCAAAGTTTGGGTTACATTGGGATCAGAATGTCTGTCCATCCGTCTGTCCATTTGTCCAAGCTAAGATTTGTTATGTCTTTGATTGTCTTTAAGTTCATTTGACGATAATCTATACAAAGCCAGTGCCATTCACCCCTCATTAATAACAAAAACTACGCTAGGGGTATATACGGTGAATGAGTCGTCTCATGATTCAGTTGTTGAGATGGTTAAGTAAATGTGACACGAATTCGACGCTGTATTTAACCAACCCGATCAATGCTTTGTTGCATCGTATCGATACGTCCGATTATAGTACTCCGATATTTGCTGATCACATTTAAAGAGGATGTCCTTGCAATCAAATTAAAATTCAGATCTATCACAACTCTGATAGATTCAAAGATTTTATTGTTTTAAATCATATCATATTTAAACAAAGGGATTGGGTATGAGGATAACGAAATCATTGATCTATATTTTAATTAGATTGATGTCCTTGTATAATTTTATCTTCTTTTCCTTCTTGAAATTATAGATCTGTCAAGTCATTCTGCATCATATTCTGAACTTTGTATGCTACTAGAATATCATTAGTGCTATCAGGTCATCCTCCTCAGCAACTAAAGTTGCTTATTGAACTTTACAAACTTAAGCTTTTGTTTAAAAGGCTACAGTACAAAGGCGACCACTAGCTAATTAGTCCGCATTTTAATGTTGACATAATTGGTCATTGATATATTTTCGTTTTCTGTAAATTTACTGTTTAAAATTCGTTGACCTATTCGAAACACTAATGTTTTTACCATGTTTGTATTCTTAATTGATTTATGATCTTGATCATGAGATTGGCACATCGGTAAAAGACTGCTGCCTTAATTTGCTACCTATTCTGTAAACCCCATCCAGACCCTCATACAATGAACCAATAACCGTAAACTTTCACCGTAACTGGTTTGTGATCTAGATGCTTGCTTTTGTTTCCGGGGAAAAAAATCAACATCAAGTCTCTTCCTCAACACTTCTTCGTTTTTTCACAAACTCATATGGTATTTTCTGTTAATTAACAGTATTAAACACAATAACTTTATAAGCAATGACAGGGTATCACTTGTTTAAGGATCATAAAGAATATTTTTCAGCAAGAAACAGAGAAGCAATCAATCGGTACAACGATTTGCCAAGAACAGGTCAGGAATAACCACCAATTGGTGGATTATACCTCAATTGACGTATAATCCACCAATTGACATATAATGGTATAGACCAATTGACATATAATTCTTTGTTTTTCAAAGCAAATTATTCAACCAAAATGGAGCATTGTTTTCTGAAAACCATATTGTTGTATGAAAACATGTCAAACATTCCTAGTTTAGTAAAGTGACATAACATATTGCATTTAATCAATAATTGTATTTGCAGTTTCTTCTATTGTTATCTTGTCAATTCTGGATTGGCAAATTTACCACTAATCACCTGTCAATGGACATCATTACTGTCTGCAGTCATGTGATTATGAGTACAACTCCACAGGTGAATGGAGCTCTTTGTTTATACTTGACTTTCATTATTAAAAGTCAATCATGGTCAATAGTACAGATGTTTCAACAAAAGAATTGTTGTACACATGCATTCTCAAGAGATGCAGCAGGCTTTGACAAAACTGAAACTTTCGGAGGACTCAATAATGGTCATAAAATAGGTTGTAAGTTGCAAAATGATGCTCCTATCTCACACTAGCATTTTATAACAAAAAAACCTGCATTATACGTCAATTGGTCTATACCAATATATGTCAATTGGTGGATTATACGTCAATTGAGGTATAATCCACCAATTGGTGGTTATTCCTGACCTGAAGAACTCGCAAAAACTCAATATGAACCTGAGAACCGATACGATAAGTAATTCTCCTCGGTAGTATACCGACCGTGCAAGACCCTCGTGGGTAGTCAAGGTCGTTAAACCCCCCCCCTCCCTCGTCGTCGTCGAGAAGCCCCTGGACCTGACAACATCTCAAACCACATACTCAGAGTGTGTTGAACAACTAAATGTAGCACCAATTCTACAAATTATAATGCAATGCTAGCTCGACACAGGTGAACTACCAAAAGACTAGAGGGTTGCAAATATATCCAGTATTTTCAAAAGAGGAGACAAACACCTCACAGAGAACTATAGACCTGTATCTTTAACATCTGTCAGCAGCAAAATTCTAGAACACATCATATGCAGGCACATCCTAAAACATCTGGAGAAAAACAAGATCCTAACCAACTTAAATCATGGATTCAGATCAGGACTTCATGCGAAACACAACTCATCACTACCATCAGTGACTTCCTACAAGAGCATGACAAGGGACATCAAATCAACGTAGCAATAGTAGACTTCTCCAAAGCCTTTGATACAGTACCACACAACAAATTACTACACAAACTAGATCAATATGGAATCAAAGGAAACACACACAAATGGCTATCAAACTTCCTAACCGCCAGATCAATGCGTACCATCGTGGAAGGAGAAATATCTGACATAACAACAGTTGACTCTGGGGTACCTCAGGGCACCGTCTTAGGTCCAATCCTGTTTCTTTGTCACATAAATGACCTGCCAGACAGCGTAACACCTTCAGTTAGACTCTTTGCAGACGATTGCCTATTATACAGGACAATTAAAACTAACCAAGACCAACAAAAACTTTAATCAGACTTGGAAAAACCAGAAATTTGGGCCGACAAATGGGGGAAGCATGTAGAAAAGCAGCATACATGTCCATGGTAAGATCTACAATGGAATATGGCGCAACCATCTGGAACCCATATATGAAATGGGATATTGACAAATTAGAACACATACAAAACAGAGGCATACGATTTATCAAAAAAATCTACAGGAGTCGAGAAACAGGGTCCATAACCAACATGAGACGTCAGCTAGAAATTGAGACGCTACAGGAAAGAAGACACAACCTCTGCCTGATCCTGATATATAAGGTGGTTGAGGGTCTGGTGCCGGCTCTGCCATCCGACAATTTCATCACACCAGCAAGACCGAAAAAGAACAATCAAAGCCAAAACATTTGCTAATTGTGAAACAAACAATATATGTATAATCGAACAGCACATAGTAAACAACACAAGAGGGCTTAAAGTGCCAGAAAGCAATAAGCAACAATATAAACACTCATTCTTTGTGGAAACAATCATAAATTGGAACCAACTGCCAGATAAAGTTGTGCATGCAGATTCTGTAGAGGCATTCAAGACCGCTCTACAGGAACACTGCCCATAACAACGGCACTCTTCTCCACCGTGTATAAAAGCCTAAATAGGATTCTACACGTACCAATACAGATACAGATACAGATAGATATAACCCAATAACTTTACTGTATATATTTTTTACTCAATAAAAGTGCAATTTAACTTAATGAATTCGATTAGTGTGTCTTTTCTGCGGTTTCTGGATGATTCATTCCAATTCCCATAATTTCAATCCAACCCAAGTTGCTTGGTCAGTTTGTTCCATTTAAAAAAAAAAAATGTTTAACCATATGAACTGCAATCAAACCTTATTACGTTTATTTTTAATGCTGTACACCATATACATTTGTAAAATAAATATAAATATTTATTTAAAAACTTTTCTATGGTTTATTCTGGGAATAATATATTGGAGTTATGCTGTTTATTTAAGTAAATAATTAATGACAATTTAATATAAAAAATTATTAACTTATTTTATTTTCATAGAAATCATTATTTTATTATAATCATGATAATTGCTTATTGTATTTTAATACTATGCCCATAAAAGTCTTATATGCATTCATCAAAAGAATCAAATAAAACTGTAATCACCAAACTGAGTTTTCAATGCACAAGACAAACTTTCATACAGGTTTAATACTATGCCCATAAAAGTCTTTTATGTATTCATCAAAAGAATAAAATAAAATTGTAATCACCAAACTTATTTTTTACTGCACAAGACAAATTATCTCAAATTATACAGGTTCAGACCAGGAAAAAACAAAGACAACCAAAGAAAAATGTATGACTGAATTTAAACCAATATGGTTTTCCCTGGGTCAATTTCTTTTTTCCCCACCACTCTCGCCCAAACAATTCTTTTTTTTGCATACCTGTCAACTGACCCGTATTTTGTGGGTTACACCAGTAAATTTCCCCTTCACATGGGATTTTTTAAAATAACCCGGGATTTCAGAAAATGACCTGTATTTACCCGTATTTCTGACTGGTATTGTTTCTGGTATTTAGAAGTCAAATATACGTTCGTTTTTTTCTGATTTTTTCCTTTGAATAGGTAAACAATTGAAAAGTCAAAACTTAGGATTTGATTATTAACTGCCCGATGACAACTATCAAAACATTACATTTGATTGAAAAGTAACAATTCGAGAATTGACTCATTATTTGTACCCCAGGAAGTCAGTCATGCTTGACATACAATTTTATGTTCTTATTAAAAGATTTACCGTTTGCAAATATCAATTATCCTGTAAAAATCATTTTAAAACAATTGAAACCTTATACTGTGAAAGTACTTTTATTCGTTGGGTACCAATTTTCATGGTTTTCGTGGATGGCTTTATCCACGAATTTAAGTGTCCAAAGAAATATAACAACTGTTGTCCAATTCCAGACATGGAAAGATCCCCATGTAGGTTTGACTACATGGGTGCCTGCATATAAGCCAACGCACTATGAACTATTAATATATACAACTTCAGACCAGATTTTACCCATTTAATTTATAAAAAAATCTAAACTGTACGACTTTAAGCCTTTTAATTCTCATGAAAAATAAGTTTTGATCGATGAATCAAGTCAGATTTCCGGTGATGATATGCGATACTGAAATGTTCAAATTATTTTTTCATAATTCTCATACGAAAAAAAAATAATGATTTCTTTTTGGGTTTCCTTTTTTATTTCATAAGAATTAATTTTACAATTCAAAGTACATTTGTACATGTTGTAGCATTTTCTTTTATGAAACCGTTAGTGAAATGTTTATGGCCCAAATTACACCTTTGATGATTGTTAATCTGTTGATCATTCGATCTCGAGTTATTTAGTGTCATAACTTCTTATTACACGTATGCAACAACTAAAATGTTTACTCTGTATTTTCCTTCAATTGAGACAATTTGTAAGCATAGATGAATCAGCTTATTTCCAAAAGCAATTATTTTATTAAAAATATGAATGTTGTTAGTAATGAAAGACGAACAAGTGAGTGAAAATGAACACCTCATTTTACAATATCCCACAAATCATAATAAAATAACATATGATTAATTTCACGAATATTTGTTTATGAAGTCTTCAAATTTTTCACTCAATTTTTTTCTTCAGAAAACTAAAATCCACGAATTTAAGAACCCACGAACATGTAACTTTTACTGAAACATCGAAAATTGATACCCATGAATAAAAGTACTTTCACAGTAATACATTTCTGTTGGAGAGAATAATTTTAATATCTCTTATATGTAAAAGCATTAAATCAAATCCAAATGCTCTAGATATTGCACTGAAAAGAAACACACTAACTTCTTTCTATATATATCTTCCTCCTGTGTATACATTGTAACTATAGGAGCACATTTTAGCTATAAAAATAAGAAGATGTGGTATAATTTCCAATGAGACAACTCTCCACCAGAGACCGAATGTCATGGACGTTTACATTTATAGGTCACCTTATGGCCTTCAACAATGAGCAAAACCCATACCCTATAGTCAGCTATGAAAGGCACCCAAATGACAAATGTAAAACAATTCAAATGAGAAAACTAACGGCCAGATTTATGTAAAAAACAATGAAGGAAATACAAATATAATATACAGCAACTAACGACAACCACTGAATTACAGGCTCCTGACTTGGGACAGGCACAAAAAAATGTGGCAGGATTAAACATGTTAGCGGGCGCCCAACCCTCCCCCTAACTTGGGACAGGGGTGTAACAGTACAACATATGAACAAACTATAAAAATCTGTTGATAAGGGCTTAACTTATTAGATCACAAAAACACAGACAGGATGTAGTAGGGTATTTATACATCCCTACAACAAAGCAGACATTACGTACATATCTGAGAGTACTCCAAGTTACTGACAGCTAGTTCAAAGCCAATAACAACTAATAAAAAAATCATGTATCTAAGACTAAATTATCAATCAGCACACATCCAACTTCCAATGGATTTAGTGTAATGATGTCATTAACAGTCAGAGAAAAACATGACCTTGTGCAATGCCAAAATACTGATATCGACAGATTTTAGAACCGTGAATGTGCATATGTTAATGTATATATTTAAACAATAATATTAGTTTGGTTTTAATTTACTGATAACAAAATCAATATCTATACTAATAAAAACAATATTTAAGGATCTAACATGTCTAATAACAGTGTTGAATTGGTAACCTTTTAGAATAAGTCTATTTAAATGATCGATTAGTTTTTACCCAGAACGTATCTTAATTTCTTGGCTTGGTAAACAACATCTCTGTAAAAATTAGGATGTGCTATCCCGTTTGAAATAAGTTTTCTACAGGTACAGCCAAACTTACAAACCAAATCTTTGTATCTATGGAAGAATTTAGTAAACATGGTAAAGGTTTTAAGTAATTTGTAACATGTTTTTGAAAAAAATCATTAAAAAAACATAAATTCTAATTCATACCTGCTAACTTTTCAAAGTCTCAATGGAGGATTTTAAGCACAAGAGGACCTAATACTCCTCTTTTATTGTCATAAGTGCTTTTTTTAATTTACTACTATAATCATGTGATAATGTATAAATGAGTGTTTAATATAAATACAATAAAGAATTTCAAAATTCATGTCAAGACCTTTCATGGGGGAAATCCCACATATAAAATAGTGTTAGTTGGGAGGTCTGCTATTTATTTTGTTTAATAAAATTAAATACAATGTAATTTAACATAATTTGCACCTATTATTGTTTTTAAAATATGTGTTTATCAAAACAACAGTTAACATGAAGAAAATCAAATATATAAAAAAGGCAAAAATCATACAATCAAAAGCACAAATTTACCTGTACAATTTTATTATTATAATAGATATCTGCCTGTACATTTATCTAAATAAGCAGTAGGTAAGTAATGTTTCATTTATGCAATGTGTTCACTCCTTTTAAAAAATATCCAACCATTTCAAGTAATAAACCTTAAAGGACATAGAGTAGTCAAGAATAGATAGCAATATAAGTATAACAAAGGACTGTCAATTACTGTTGATGAGGGTCACAATTCTAGACAATCTTTAGAATTATTTGTAATGATTTACAAAAGTAAACAAGATTATCAACTTCATATATTTGACTTGTTTAAAATTCTTTAAATTTTTGTTTGTTGTATTAATAGGTGCTGCAACTTTATTAACCTTGATTATAATATCTGACAATTTTATTACATTTGTTTTTTTTTGGCACATTTTGTTTCAGTAATACACCACACATATGGCTACCAGCACAAGAAATTCATGTCCATTATGTATTATTCATAATCATGTATATATAACAACATTGTAATTGTTTTGTATTTGTTTTTCAGATAATATACATCTACTCATAACCAACAGATGACAATATGGCAAGGAAAGGAACATCATTTATTACATTGTCAAAAATAGAAAACATTTTGATGTTTGTCATAATTTGGGCATGTATTTTAAGTATACACTATGCCTATAGAAAATCAGGGACAGATGCTCTTAATAGAATTCGTAGCACAATAAATATCATTCCCAAAAGTGTTGGGAAAGAAACCATAAATAAAGACAGTGACAAAAAGGTTATTTTGGAGGAATCTGATTTTCTGCAACCTGACTTAGAAGCAAAAGTACAGAAAGAATTAGAGGAAATAAAAAAAGAACAAGAGAAAGAATTAAAGAAAGAATCTATTAGGAAGAAAGAAGGAGAGTTTTATAGCACATATAAGGAAGATGAAGTCTATAAGTGGTTTGATGAAAGGCCTAAACGAACTGATCCCTTAAAAGATCCTAGTGTCAAAAGCTCAAACCAACCAAAATATTTGATAAAAGGAGAAAATATTTGCAAAGGGAAAACAGATATTTTATTTTATATTCATAGCAAAATTAGCAATGAGAAAAATAGAAAGGCAATTCGACAGACCTATGCTCATCCAGAAAATTTTAAAAAGTTGACTGTAAGGGTTGTTTTTATTCTTGGAAAAGGAGCAAATGAAGCAGAGAAAAGTAAAATTATCAAAGAAAGTGAGACTTATAAGGATATAGTTCAGACAGATTTTGAAGATACTCAGAGAAATTTAAGTTATAAAGTTTTAACATTTTTACAATGGGTTGTTGATTTTTGCTCAAGTCCAATACCTAGATATATAGTTAAAGTGGATGATGACTTTTTCGTTAATCCATTTATGCTTGTTGAAGAATTTATTTCAGAAGTATGGGATAAAGAGAATTTTGTTTCTTGTCATTACAAAGAAAACAGCCGTGTAGTCAGAACAAAGACTAGTAAATGGAACATTCCAGAAACTGCATATCCATTGAAAGATCCTGATGTATTCCCCAAAACGTGTTCTGGATATACAGCAATATTTCCTGGAGATTTAGTACCAGTTTTACGCAGCATTTCAGTTGACACTCCATTTATTCCTGTTGATGATGCTTACTTATTTAGTGTCATGTTTGAAAAGCTTGATAATCCACAATACAAACAGATTTTAGAAGGGATGACCTTAAATAAAGATATGGGACTACAGGATTACAGTGGGACCAAGAGGTTACAGTACATGTCTGTCAGTGCCTGGGGTGATATCACAGAAATAATGAATATCTTATGGAAAGGAACAATGAAACATTTAACAACATTAGGTAAACAGCTTATCAATGAAAAACGCTTCACAAAACAGTAGCTTAACAGTTTATAAATTAAAAACGATTACTAGAAAATTTGGTAACAGCTTATCATTGATAGGCTATTACCAAAAATTGTTCAATCATGTTAAAGTAATATATAACTTTTTTAATGAAAATAATGAAAAAAATATGTTTGAATTCTTGGCACCATTATAGTTGGTTATGTCAGACCCTAAATCTAAGTTTACTTTTTTGTACCTTTTGAAAATACTTTGAATTCTCTGCTGAGTGTTACAATAAAAGCAACATTATGAATTTTCATACTTGAGCCATTAAATGAGAAAGTTACCTTCTTTACAGTTTTCTTTTCAAATCATATTTTTGATGTTAGTCCATTAGTACACAATGTTCACAACAAAGTCCTAATGGTTCTAAGAAACCTGTACAATGAAGGCAACCAGTAGTCTTCTGACTTTAACAAACAGCTTCTTGTCCTGTAGGGGGTCTGTATATTGAATGAAATCAAGATAAAATAACTACTAATATAAATATTAATTTGCGCATTTTAAAACAGAAAGGTTAAAGTCTTTAAAGATGGAAGAATTTTATTCAGTGGTCAGACACAGAATCTTCACAAACTATTTTTTTCAAGCATGTCCACATACTTTTTTTTTGGCTTATGCAAGTCCAAAGTTCAAAATAAAAAAAAACTATATCACTGCCTTTTATTTATCATTAAGTTGACTGGTCAATGCACTGATCGTCCTGAATATGCATGAAATATTTGCCACTGGACGTTAAGCAACCAACAATCAATCAATCAATCAATGCACTGATGCACTGAAGCAAATAGTTCATTGAAAGTGAACTCACAAACATGCATTGATAAGGCCAGTAAGTATGTGAGGAAACAAATCTAGTAGAAAGGTGCTTAGAAACTTCATGTTTTGTAATATCCTTTTTGATAGATGTAGGGATTGTCTTTAATTTGCATTGAGCTGTGAAGTTTTGATTTTTGTTGACTGTGTCATTCAGATGAAGAACAGCAATCAAAGTATTGTTATTTTGCTTTGGGTTTTGTGAATGATTTGTTAATGTACCGCATCCTTAAGCCTTCTTTTCAATATTCTGGGATATCATTGTAAGAGAAAACAACATGAACAACAAACTCTTTACTTTTGAATTTTAATTGTTATTCTTGTTTCTTCTGCTTCATTGTCCAAGTTATGTACAAAGTTAAATAGAAACAAATAAATGAGATAAATTAAAGGAATAACAGTACTGTAGTTGAAAAGTTGCCGCTGTCAATTGGCAATTTGACAGTCGCAAATACATTACAAGTCACCAGTAAAACGGATGTTTGTGACTCAAATTAAAAATTGACTGCAGCAAATCTTCAACTACAGTACTGTTTTTCTGATTCTAATGCGTTACGTTAAAAAATGTATAAATTTGAAATAAAATAAAATTCTGCAAAACTTCTTGAATGATTTTAGTGCATAGACTTCATGGTAAAACTGACGTCATATGAATGAGAACTTACAAAATGAAGATTATAACGTTGCTTCTATGATTCAAATTTGGATATAATCGCATCAAAACGGGGTTTTTGAAGTAGGTGGTGTTTTATTTCGATTATATTGTAGTAATCGAACATTTCTTGATCCAAGCAATTCAAAATGGTGGGTCACTCCTTAGTTACGACATTTCAACTGTGGATTTGGTGGTAACTTTTGGCTAATGAAAAATATTGTTACATAAAAATTGCATTAGATTGTTTATTTTACAGTATAGTACTCCATTGCCATGTATGTGATGGGTGTTGTTTTATTTCTTTGTGATATCTATGTTTGTCGTGGCTTGATAAGTACCTTAAACATATCATCTGAAATAGTCTCTCTGGAAAAACATTTGATGGCATTTCTTCATGTGATATAGTTGATCTCAGATTTTAATTCATCATTTTAACCAGTTAAAACAAATAACAGTATATATTATGGCAGTCAGCGATAAAACTTGTATACAAATAAGTTTTATTTACTACAGAAAAGCGATCTCTTGCAATGAGAAATCATGTCTATACAAGACATGACATGCCTTAATGCATGCACTACAGGTTATAAATTTGGGAGTAGAGTTATCTCCCTAATTAGTCATCCATACATATTTTATTCATATAGGGATAAATAAGAAAGTCATATATCTTCTCTTCTTGGTTTTCTCTTTATAACATTGCTGTAATAGAATGTTTAATTGTCTGTCCATTATTTTTGTCTTTATTATTCAATGAAGTACAATTTCATGGACAACTATAATTTTCTTTTGTCTCTATTATTCATAAAAGTACAAGTTCATGGACAACTAAATTCTCTATTGTCTCTTTTCAAAATATTGACATGCCACTCTTGAACATTTTTAAAGGCCTTGCTGCATTAGGTAACTCTTGAGAGAAAAGCTTGAACTCTAACAAAAAAGTTTTACAAAAACCAAGAAAAATTTTTTTCGAGTAAAGTTATGACTTCCCAAAACTTGACAATTGCAATGGTTGAAAACGAGTTAGATGTACATAAGTAAATGTTTGTAAAAGCGTAATATGCATTCAAAACGTTGATGATTTTTTTTAAATATGACAAAACTGATAGAGGTCAAATCTTTTAAAAATTGTATATTATGAATTAAAAGAGAGATGTAATACATGTATTGTACATGTTGTATTTGAGATAGAAGTGAAAACAAAAGGAAAAATATTACTATTGATCAAATTACCCCATAATTGCTATATATTTATACAAATGGTTCTATGTTGTATACCATGTATGTAATGATTATGGACAAAAGCAGCCTCATGTTTTGATATTTTCTATCTATATTAGTTATTTTGGATGTCTCATATAAAAAAGCAAATATCTGTATTATTGTTCATTCATGATTTAATGATCAGCTAGTATTTTTTATGTGAGTCTTGCCAGTCGTTAATGTTTACTTTTATACACATGTATTTAATTTTGACATTGTGCAAACATATTTAATTTTGAAGATCCATTTTGCCTTACAGATTCTTTTTTGTGGAAGAATGCTTCCAAACTGTAGGTTCAATTTATACAGAAGTGGAATAAGGGAGCTATAGTTTTACCTTTTAACCAAATGTTTTGATAGGAGAAATGGAAAATAAAAAAGATGACAAACCCACAAATTATTCTTTATTTGGCAAAAAATCTAAAATTGATTATCTGAAATTAAAAAAGTATAGAAATGGCAAAACCTTATGTTGGCACAAAATGAATTAATTATATAAAATAGTATCTGTTGATAAAGATTAAAAACCCACCTATGTTTATTTATAATAGAATATTAAGATTGTATATTTTTATATAATATATTGTTTTATAGTAGAGATGGCAATGTGCATTGATTATTACCCTTAAGTTTGTAAATCTTTAATACTGGTATGCACTGTGTTTGTATTTGGTATTTTTTTCAAACCATGAAATAGTTTTCAGTGAAATTAACTTTTTTTTAGCTCACCTGGCCCAAAGGGCCAAGTGAGCTTTTCTCATCACTTGGCGTCCGTCGTCCGTCGTCCGTAAACTTTTACAAAAATCTTCTCCTCTGAAACTACTGGGCCAAATTTGACCAAACTTGTCCACAATCATCAATAGGGTATCTAGTTTAAAAAATGTGTCCGGTGACCCGGCCAACTCACCAAGATGGCCGCCATGGCTAAAAATAGAACATAGGGGTAAAATGTAGATTTTGGCTTATATCTCTGAAACCAAAGCATTTAGAGCAAATCTGACATGGGGTAAAATTGTTTATCAGGTCAAGATCTATCTGCCCTGAAATTTTCAGATGAATCTGAAAACCCGTTGTTGGGTTGCTGCCCCTGAATTGGTAATTTTAAGGAAATTTTGCCGTTTTTGGTTATTGCCTTGAATATTATTATAGAAAGAGATAAACTGTAAACAGCAATAATGTTCAGCAAAGTAAGATCTACAAATAAGTCAACATGACCAAAATGGTCAGTTGACCCCTTAAGGAGTTATTGCCCTTTATAGTCAATTTTTAACCATTTTTCGTAAATTTTTGTAATCTTTTACAAAAATCTTCTCCTCTGAAACTACTAAGACAAATTTAACCAAACTTGTCCACAATCATCATTAGGGTATCTAGTTTAAAAAATGTGTCCGATGACCCGCCCGCAAACCAAGATGGCCGACATGGCTAAAAAATAGTTCATAGGGTAAAATGCAGTTTTTGGCTCATATCTCTGAAACCAAAGCATTTAGAGCAAATCTGACAAGAATAAAATTGTTCATTAGGTCAAGATCTATCTGCCTTGAAATTTTCAGACCAATCAGGCAACACGTTGTTGGGTTGATGCCCCTGAATTGGTAATTTTAGGAAAATTTTGCAGCTTTTGGTTATTATCTTGAATATTATTATAGATAGAGATAAACTGTAAATAGCAATAATGTTCAGCAAAGTAAGATCTACAAATAAGTCAACATGACTAAAATTGTCAATTGAACCCTTAAGGAGTTATTGTCTTTTATAGTCAATTTTTTTATAATTTTCATAAATTTTTGTAAATTTTTACAAAATATTTTCCACTGTAACTACTGGGCCAAGATCATTATAGATAGAGATAATTGTAAGCAGCAAGCATGTTCAGTAAAGTAAGATCTACAAACACATCACCATCACCAAAACACAATTTTGTCATGAATCCATCTGTGTCCTTTGTTTAATATGCACATAGATAAAGGTGAGCGACACAGGCTCTTTAGAGCCTCTAGTTTTATCTGCTTTGCATTTTTCTACACGAATATTTCTCAAAGACTATAGATTATCCTCAAATTTTATTTTATTATAAAGAAAGAATAATAAGTCTAGTACCTTACTGAAGCTCATAGTGGACATGGTAAAATATATTACTGTATGATTGAGCTTTATAGTTTAATAATGAGTTTTTGTTTGTGGACTTAAAAAGACCAATACATTCTTTTTTTTACCTTAATATTTGAGTTTATATTCATAATTTCTATTATGTATCGTTGTTCAGGGTGTAATATATCTAATTGCAAGTTATCTAAAATTTTGACTTTTCTTGCTTTTGGATTTCAAAATTTATTCAAAGGAACTAATCTGATTGTAAAAGAAAATGTATTTATTATTAGTATTGTTTACATTGTATTTATCTGTTTATAGATTTATAGATTTATGTTTTTATTGTTGCATTGATTCTGAAATCCATTTTGATACTTTCTCAGTAATTGTTGTTTATTGTATTATATTATAATTGTTATAATTTAGTATTTGCTTATACATGTATAATTAGTAAGTGATCTATAATCTGTGGCAAATCTTTTTGTGGGAACTTTTTGCATTTTTTTCTAATTTGTTCATTAAATATAAATACTGCTAGGTAAATGGAAAATTTGAAATATCTCTATTTTTATATGTGCATTGGGGAAATACTGGCAACTTAGTAAATCGGTTAAAAAGAAGATGAATGATTTTAGGAATTTGTGAAAAATAATGATTTTCTGTGAAAGATAACAGTAATGACACTGGTAAATTTTGAATTATAACGTCTAATTGGTTTTATTTGATTATTTCAATGCTATGAAACTATGTTATACTGAATTAGCAGAAGTAGCATAATTTTTATGCCCCCACCGTAGCGGAGGGGGCATTAAGTTTTACCCTTATCCTTCCGTACGTCCCAAAGTTGGATTCCGTTCTCTAACTTAAGTTAACCTCAGCCAAATGTTATGAAACTTATACACAATGCTTATTACCACAAAATACAGATCAAGTTTGAAATTTGGTGGTGTCACTTTAACCGTTCTAGAGTTATGCCCCTTTACAAAAGGAAAAATTGCTGTATTTTTCGTTTCCGTTCTCTAACTTAAGTATGCCTCAACCAAATGTTATGAAACTTATACACAATGCTTATTACCACAAAATACAGATCAAGTTTGAAATTTGGTGGTGTCACTTTAACCGTTCTAGAGTTATGCCCTTTACAAAAGGAAAAAAATGCTGAATTTTTTGTTTCCGTTCTCCAACTTAAGTTTGCCTCAACCAAATGTTATGAAACTTATACACAATACTTATTACTACAAAACCCAGATCAATAACAAATTTGGGTAGTGTTACTTTTACCGTTCTTCAGTTATGTCCCTTTATAACTTTATATGATATGTAAGCGGGGGCATCAATTGTGTCCTATGGACACATTCCCCATTTATTTGTAATCTTTTTCTTTTTAATATTTGTAGACATTTGTCTAACAATCTGGAACAAAAGTTTTGAAATAATCTGTCTTAATACTCATGAAATCTTGTTATGTTATGTACAATGTATATATATATATTTCACCCACCGGAAAAACAGAACACTAGTTCAGTGATTGTTGATCTTCATATTTATATAATGGACACCTTTTATGCTAAGGACATTTTAAAAAAAAATTTATTTCTATTTCTATTTATTTATTTTTTTTTGATAATTAAAATGGTAATGCATTGCATGTTTAAAAATAACTGAAATCCAGAATATTCAAAATGTTTAAAGTTCTAGGGCACTGTCTTTTTGCATTGGTACTATCATATATTTGGCAATCCACTATTGCATTTGTAGGTTCATATATTTGGCAATCTAGTATTGCATTTGTTCAATGGATATTCTTTCATTGTTGGGAAGATCATATTTTTAATATAGATTTACATTGTAGTTCAGTTTAGGTTCTACTAAATATGGATTTTTTAAATATTTGTCTTTTGTTTTGTTTTGTGTCATTGTCCTTATCAGCAATTTTTTACTTTGCAGCAACTCATGTAAAACAATAACAGAAACAAAACAAACTTTGAAGGTCATACACAAACTTTGAAGGTCATACAGTGACCTGTACATGTCTTTAGTTCTACAGGCTCTGAGGGACAGTTCTTATTGCCAATCATACCACAAGTCCTTTTTGTCGAGCCTTCGACTTTAGTCGAAAAAGCGAGACATAGCGATCCTACATTCCGTCGTTGTCGGCGGCGGCGTCCACAAATATTCACTCTGTGGTTAAAGTTTTTGAAATTTTAATAACTTTCTTAAACTATCCTGGATTTCTACCAAACTTGGACAGAAGCTTGTTTATGATCATAAGATAGTATCCAGAAGTAAATTTTGTAAAAATAAAATTCCATTTTTTCCGTATTTTACTTATAAATGGACTTAGTTTTTCTGCCAGGAAATATTACATTCACTCTGTGGTTAAAGTTTTTAAAATTTTAATAACTTTCTTAAACCATCCTTGGTTTCTACCAAACTTGGACAGAAGCTTGTTTATGATCATAAGATAGTATCCAGAAGTAAATTTTGTAAAAAAAAAAATCCATTTTTTCCTTATTTTACTTTTAAATGGACTTAGATTTTCTGCCAGGAAACAACACATTCACTCTGTGGTTAAAGTTTTTAAAATTTTAATAACTTTCTTTTACTATTTTGGATTTGTACCAAACTTGGACAGAAGCTTGTTTATGATCTAAAGCTAGTATCTAGAAGGAAATTTTGTAAAAAAATAAATATATTTTTCCATATTTTACTTTTAATGGACTTAGATTTTCTGCCAGGAAACAACACATTCACCCTGTGGTTAAAGTTTTTAAAATTTTAATAACTTTCTTATACTATTTTGGATTTGTACCAAACTTGGACAGAAGCTTGTTTATGATCAAATGCTAGTATCTAGAAGGAAATTTTGTTTTCTTCCAGTTAACATTACATTCAGTCTGCAGTTAAAGTTTTTAAACATTTATTAGATTCATAAACTATCCTGGATTTTTACCAAATTTGGACAGAAGCTTCTTACAATCAAAAGATAGTATCAAGAGGAATATTTTTATTGATTTACTTCCTCATTTTTGTTGAGCCTGCGTTTAACAGAAAAAGTAGGCGAGACACTGGGTTCCGCGGAACCCTTACAAATTTTTATTATATTGAACATAAGCATTGTGTCACCAATTAATTTTTTTATTCAATTGGCTTTTGGAGTTTTCCATTTAAGGGCTATTGCAGGTATACACATCTTATCCCCTATTCATTCTAAACTATGCAACAGAAGCTAACATTGCAGGAATAATTACACTGAGTGTATTATGTCACTTTTAATACTGCTCAGTATTATTATTCTTTGCATTTTCCCAAAACCAATCCAGGGTATTATTGAATTTAAAAGATAACCTAGTACTTAACCACAATGTTTCTTAAACCACAGTATTTACAAAAACCAATACAAATATTATATATCCACTGACTTACACAACAGGTAAACCTAGTGAACATGTAGTTTTTGGTCTGTGTCTTATAAAGAGTAATGTTATAATTTGCAGGAAATTGTTTGCAACTCATTTGTCTATTTCTGTTCTCCAGCTCTCATGAAACAGTGCAAAATGATATTTTTACCTGACCTCTTTGAATTTCACAACCTAAAGTTACTATCTGATGAATAACAAAAAACGTATACTTTATGTCAGCAATTTTTATGAGACCTACCAATTATAACATCACTTTTGTGATTTTGCAATATGAATGTGTATATTATCTCAATTAACCTGACGATTATCATAAAAACCTGTTTGAGATATTGTACAGAACATACATGCATCTGTGATATAAGATAAATTTTGTTATTGTTACCTTTATAGACATTTGTATGGATATAATGTATGATCAAGAAGTGAGAATTGAGAACTACCAGCAACATTCCCTTGTTTTATTGTTAGTATTTTGTATATTTATATTATATGTCACAATGTGGGACAATAAAAGATATTGGTTGTTATTTTTGAATTACTTCAAATGCCCTACCAGCTATACGTCTCTCTTCAGACTTTTTTTTACATGATCTATATTTGAAAAAGAGGAGGTTTTTACAGATGGGAAACTGGTCTAACCCAAATCCCAACAGTATTCACAGTGTGCCCGTACCTTGTCAGGCTACCTATTTCATGTGTTGTTGATTGCAATTTGTCTTGGTGTGTCTTTTTAAGGAATCAGTTGTTTGTTGTGCTATTCATTAATCCTGGTAATTCCTGTTAAAGTGAAAGGAACAATAGAACATCATCACGATCATAGTGACCTACATTCCACAGCTTGTGTATGAAAACCTATCAGGGTCATCTGTGTTATGTGTTATTAAAGAACACATTTTAGACAGCATAGATAGATAGTATAATCTTACATGAATTACATCACAGTGCCCTTTATTAGTTCAATGTGATTCAAGTTTGACATAGAATGACAAACAGTACTGCAAGTTCAATGTGATTAAAGTTTGACATAGAAGTACATACAGTACTCCAAGTTCAATGTGATTCAAGTTTGACATAGAAGTACAAACAGTACTCCAAGTTCAATGTGATTAGAGTTTGTCATAGAAGTACAAACAGTACTCCAAGTTCAATGTGATTCAAGTTTAACATAGAAGTACAAACAGTACTCCAAGTTCAATGTGATTAAAGTTTGACATAGAAGTACAAACAGTACTCCAAGTTCAATGTGATTAAAGTTTGTCATAGAAGTACAAACAGTACTCCAGGTACAATGTGATTAAAGTTTGTCATAGAAGTACAAACAGTACTCCATGTTCAATGTAATTAAAATTTGACATAGAAGTACAAACAGTACTCAAGTTCAATGTGATTAAAGTTTGTCATAGAAGTACAAACAGTACTCTAAGTTCAATGTAATTAAAGTTTGACATAGAAGTACAAACAGTACTCCAAGTTCAATGTGATTCAAGTTTGTCATAGAAGTACAAACAGTACTCCAAGTTCAATGTGATTCAAGTTTGTTATAGAAGTACAAACAGTACTCCAAGTTCAATGTGATTCAAGTTTGACATAGAAGTACAAACAGTACTCCAAGTTCGATGTGATTAAAGTTTGACATAGAAGTACAAACAGTACTCCAGGTTCAATGTGATTAAAGTTTGACATAGAAGTACAAACAGTACTCCAAGTTCAATGTGATTCAAGTTTGTCATAGAAGTACAAACAGTACTCCAAGTTCAATGTGATTAAAGTTTGATATAGAAGTACAATGTGATTAAAGTTTGACATAGAAGTATAAACAGTACTCCAAGTTCAATGTGATTCAAGTTTGACATAGAAGTATAAACAGTACTCCAAGTTCAATGTTCACTGTTGAAGGCTGTGCGGTGACCTATAGTTGTTAACTTCTATGTCATTTGGTCTCTGGTGGAGAGTTGTTTCATTGGCAATTATACCACATCTTCTTATTTTTATATTTCAACAAAAGACAAATATCTGAGCAATTAAGGTGTGAAAATAATTATTTAAATTATTTTAAACAGTTTTAAAAAAGTGTTCTGAGAACTCAGCATAATTGATAAAGAGTATGATGAAAGTGGAATATCAGTATAATTATTTTAGAGGAACAGCGACTATACATAAATAAACTGTTATCACAGAGATATGTCTTGCCTTTTTGTAATTTTGAAAATGCAAATGTTGAATTTAAAATAGCAATACTTTAACATGTAAGTTATGCAAATATTCAAAGTCGATGAACTATGACTGAAGGTACATGGCTAAACAATCTCCATGGAATGAGATGTGCCAATGCTAATACAACTGCCTACCAAATACCATTGACTTATTATAAGTCGTTCCCTTTAAACACACCTAAACACAAACATTAACTTGTAAACTATGTAAAAGTTTCAAAGTCAATGAACCATGATCAGGGATGGGGCTATATAATCCCCATGGAAACGATACTTGCAAATGCCAATAAATTTGCATACCAAATATCATTGACTTAACATTAGCAGTTCATCTTAAACTGATCTAATCACAAACTAATACATGTAAACTAAGCAAAAGTTTCAAAGTAAATAGACCATGACTGAGGGGGCAGGGCCAAATATTCTCCATGGAAATGAGATGTGCAAATGCTTATACAACTGAACACCAATTAACATTGGCCTACCACTAATGGTTTCCCTTGAACTGACCTAATCATAAACTAATACATGTTAATTTAGCAAAATTTTCAAAGTCTATAGACCATGACTAAGGGGGCGGAGCCAAATAATCTCCATGGAAATGAGATATGCCAATGCTTATACAACTGCATACCAAATATCATTGACCTACCACTAGTGGTTCCCCATAAATTGACCTAATCACAAACTAATACATATAAACTAGGAAAAGTTTCAAAGTTAATAGACCTAGACTGAGGGGGCGGGGCCAAATAATCTCCATGGTAATGAGATGTGCCAATGCTAATACAACTGCATACCAAATATCATTGACCTACCACTAGTGGTTCACCATGAACTAGACCTAATCACAAACTAATACATTGTTGACGTCGCCGTAGCCGCTGCCGGAAACAGCATACCTATGTCTCGCTTTTTGACTCCTTCAAGGCGAGACAAAAATCAGCAATACAAGATGTAAGAACATATGTATTAAGAGATGGACAGAAGTTAGTTAATCTATCTGCAAGATCTACTTCAGGTACAATAGGGGTGTGGAATTTAATTTTTTTTAAGGACAATATCATGAATATGTTATTGCCAAGGAAGAAACAAAACAAATTAAGAGAATAACATTTTAAAGCTACTTTATTATCTAGCAAATTGTCATCTAAACACATTTCAAATGGAAGAACTAGTCAAAATTATCACAAAAATAACAAACATGAACTCATATCAAAATACATAATACAAATATACAATTGTTCACCTTTAAAATATAAAATACATAAAATCTATAAATATTCTTATCACAGATACATATAGTGGTTTTACAAACCTAATTACATTCTCGATTATTACACAAGAAATTTTGAAGGTAAATGAACTGAAACCTGCCGTTTTTCATCTATGTAAGCTAGCAAAAACAACACATTGAACTGCAAACAAAACTGTGATATTGAAACCTTTATAACAAGTCAAGTTCATAAGTTTTGTATTTTTGTGTATAAATATTTTAGTTTATATGTGTCTACAGTTGTGCAAATTATAACCATTCTTGATTTGATATAACGTTGGTATGATTGTAATTATATTTTCACTGTATCCAAGGAGGACATTTAGATATGAAACCACGAAAAATTAAATGTTTCCTTAACAGTAAAATCAGTGTGTATATAAAGCATACTGATATAATTTATAAAATACTGTAGTATTTTTTTTTATCCTGTATGATGAAGAATTAATTTCTTGTCACAGCTGCTTGACATAAATGCAAACTGTAATGCATTAGATTTTGCTTTTAAATATATGAGTTTTTTAGTTCAGAAAGAATGCTTTATATCCATAGTACTTCATATACTTAAATTTTATGTGTTTGTTGCTATCCAAGTAGCAAGCATTTCATTTATAACATAAATAAGTTGTATGCACATACCCAGGAAAAACATTAAAGTTGGCATCAAATTCCTGTATTTCGGGAAAAAAATCCTACAACTTCTGGCCAAGCATAAATCCTTAAAAATTTAAACAAATCACTGCTGCTTTCATTTTGTGTGATCTTTTATTTGCAACACAGACCTTTGAATAATAATGACAAAACATTTATCAATCAGTTTATGTTTTGTTCATAATAAAAGGCTGTCGTACAAAAATTAGAAATTTTGTGCATACAATAAGGCTTATAGGTATATAATTTTTCATAAAAATCTAAAAAGTGCAATCATTGTATAATGTGTGGTTAGGCACTAGATTATTTTAATACACTCATCAAAATTGCTTAAAAAATAGAAGTCAGAATATACTTACAATTTCACATAAAATTATGACTAACGATTTTTCAATGGAAAAATATATCACCCACAAACTAATTGCTGTAGATATCAAAACTTTTCAAATTTGTCTCATAGTCATATTACAAATCAAATATTTTGCCGAAATTTTTTTTCTCTAATTAATGTCAGCAATACCTTTTGTGAATTTAACTATTTATAACAGAGTTAAAAAACAAAAAAAGGGTTGCAATAACCTATAAATATTTTAAAATCAAACATAACCAATAATGGAAAGTATGTGACAAATTAATAAAGTATTTTCACTGTCATCATGGTCATGTTGCAAAAAAAGAGGTGGTCACTGTACTAGTAACAAAACACATATTTCAGTGATTTCCCCCTTGCTCATAATTTGTATCTTATAACCTTAACAAGTACAAACCCCAAATATATAATAACAAAACTTAAAACAAAAACAAAGAATTTATCTTCAGAACTTTTGGCAAATGAATACCGGTAATAAGGCACTAAAACTCAAATAACATAGAGTATAATGATTCTTCTCATTTTATAAAAGTGTAATATTGTTAAACATAATATAAACATCCCTTAAGATACACTGAGTAAATTCACACAGTGTTTTTGAAAATAAAAGACATGAAGGAAACTGATTTTTCAGGACGCTTGCATATAACCATGTTTCTCTCTGAGTTTTTTTTTCACCTAACAATTTAGTATGAATCGTTTTCTTTGGCTATCATGTTGTGCTTAACCTAATTCTATGCATTTTTATACCAAATCTAAAATTTATACTCAACTTAACAATAAGTTGTGGTTATCTTAAAACTAATGTTTAATTAAGAGCTCATATATATATATATATATAATGTTGTTTGTGCTGTATTTAGACCCCTCTACCAAGAAATTTGTTTTGCATGCACACGTATAAAAATTGCTGTTTTAATCCAACGCAATCATAGGTTTGAATGTTGTTTTCAATTTAGACTTGTATATATATATATATATATAATCACATAAAGCCAATTTTTATATGACTGAGTCAACTGCTAAAATCCTTTATACAATAAAATATATCTATAAAATATCAAATTGACTTATGGAAAACAAATCAGTAACAAAAAACTGTCTTAAAGACTGTGTTAACAACTGTAGAATTTCAAAAAAATTGCATATGAATTTTAAAATCTTCATAATTAATGAGTTAAACTAATTTAAAATTTAAGTAACTATGGAAACCAATGATGAGGTATAGAAGGAGGCCATTCAGGATGCATTTGGAATTCTCCACGAGTTTTTGTTGGATTGACCGCTTTTCTCATTGAAATCATATCATGCATCCGTCTTTGTCGTAATGATGTATTACTGCCAACTCTAGATGAAGAAGGACTACCTGTCATTTTTTCCCGTCTTATTTGCTGTAAAACTCTTTGAAGATTGGCATTTTCTGAAAATAGCAATAAGATAAATTAACCAAATCCTTTTGCATGCTTGTCTCATATTAATGCACAAATCTTTAGAAACACACTCCAAATCCTAGGCGTATTTTTAGCTGTTAAATTGTGCTTAGTTAGTATAAACAAAATAAATGAGAACCTGGCTAAAATGTAGTTACATGTACAGACTGCAATTTTTTAATTGTATATAAAAGAGTACTGGTCTTAGAATTGATGAATTTAAAATAATGATATTATTACATCAGGCTCATGAAACAACTAAAGAATTCGGTTCTTTTAATCATTTTAGCTTTTTCATACTTAACTGACATATTTAAAAAGTAAAAATAATACTGCTCTTAGAACTGTCCCTTTTGACTTTTCAAGATCTGACATTGGACCAAGATTATCATACTGTGACCAACAATTGAATACAATATAAAGATATGACAAAGAGTCCTTTAATTCTTTTATATTGTTGACCTGCAAGGCATGATCTTATATAAAATATGTGTCTCTATGTGTGATAAGATCGTGCATGGAGCTATGGCTTGAATTAAAGCAGGATTTACCAAAAATGACCTGGTTAGGAAATAGCAGATAGGTAAAACCTACGCATCATTTATTGGGTTGTATTAAAAAAAAGTTTTTGTTTTAGAGATTAAATTTGATATTTGTTTAAAATATATGTACCTTTTTTTCTCTCAATATTTGAACTCAAGTAAATTCATATAATTAATTATGTCGAAACAGTAAATTTGTAAAATTTTATTTTTCTGAAATAAACTCTGTGATACATGGAAACTACCATTCCAATGGTGAGAAATATATAATTTGCATTCCACTGTGCAGGAAAGTAACTCTGAATAATTGTAATTGCTACCATAAATATTTTGAACACTTTAACAAACTGTGTATCCTTTCATGCAACTGGTAGGAAAAATTCATGCAAATGAAGATTAAAATTACTAAAAGGTGTTCTGGATATGATACATTGTACGTTAACAACAAGCTTACCTGCTATTTTTACCTGGAAGGATTTTATGTTCTATAAATTCTTTTAAAAGTTATCAATTTTATTTTATACCAAAAACTATTTTGTACCATTCATATGTTTAAAAATTTTCTTGCAAGTTGTCCTTTCTATCTTTAATATAAATAACTCCTATTTAAAAGTTCACATCATGATGAAACCCTAATTTGCTGAGATGCAACTGAAATAATCTATGATAATGACACTTTAACAATACTGATTTCAAGGCCTTTCATTTTTTTAATAGCTCTTGATAAACTGACAAAAAAAGTTGAAAAAAGGGTTTAGACATAACCATAATGTAAATAGTTTTGTTGTAAAAAGTGAAATATTTTTATGCCAAATTTCTGTATTTATATAAACAGGAAAATAGCTACTAACTTATAATAGCTGTCAGACAAAAATATTTCCACACTAACCAAATATCAGTTGATATAATTAATTGTTTCTTATGTTCCCTTGAAGCACATTGCAAAATTCCTAAAATATTTGGAAGATTTAGTGAGTTATCTCCCTTTTTCAATGATTAATATTTGACTTTATCAGATTTTACAAAAAGATCTTACAAGCTGGTGTAAATTTTTTTTATAAACAAAACTTAATAATCAAATGACTTTTAAGATACACAGATAAACTGCGCTCCAATTGAGCATCAATCAATGGTTGACATCTTAGATTTCATTCTTGTTGTGTAAAAACACTTCCATGTGTTTTTAAAACTTCAAAGCATTTACAGAAACCTTTAATTTTTATTTTCTTGGAATACACTAAAAAATCTCCTAAAATCACTTTTTATTAATGCTTTAAAAGATAGGTTGATAACTTATGCACATGCATGTTAAATTCAAGGGGAGATAAATAAGTTTGATACTACTGAAAATCAGCCAAATTTTAAAACTATTTGTGAAATAGAAAATGAAGAATGTGTATAGTACATTTTTCTTTCTGTTTTATCCACCAAAGAATGATTTACCCCTATATAATGTACACAATTATTAAATTTTAATCCCCTTATTTTATAAAAAAAAAAAAACAAAAAAAAAAAAAACAGTGTAAATAAATCTTCTCACTCTCCAGGAAATTTAAGATTTCTTTTTAGCTTTTATCCACCCAGATAATGGCAAATATAAAAACCATTGGAAAATTTGTTGCATACTGAAATGTTTGTTCTCCATAGTTAAAGGACACTTTCTATACATTTGTACAATTTTATGCAGTGAAATTTCAAACATAGAAAAGACACAGGTGCTGAATACAAACCATTAGCTTTTGAATTAACTGAAATGTAATGAAATCAAATTTTGAATTTCAAAATAAACATTATTCAGCCAAAAAAAAAAAACCATGAATTATTTCATATTTTTCATGCCAAGGCCTTTTATAGCCAACTATACACTCATTGTTGAAGGCTGTATGGTTGCCTATAATTGCTTACATCCACTTCATTTTAACTTTGGTGGATAGTTGTTTCATTGGCAATCATACCACATCTCCTTGATTTAACATATTACTTAATGGCATTACATATTTACTGGTAGTTTTTGAAAGCAGGGGGCAAAGCTACAATTTCTTTGTTCAAGAATGAAGTATAAATTAACTAAAATAAAGTCCAAATTGTTGATGGTGCCATTATTATCATTATATAATATATGATGGCAATATAAATAAGCAATTCAAAATTGATTTTGGGTAATTGTCCTTTTTGTGACCTTTTGAACCTTCTATGGACATATAACATACCATTGGTACCAGCAAATTTCATCCATCTATGAAGTGAAGGTTGTGGTATAACTGCTGTTGTTACTGGCATTGGTGAAGTCTCTACTCGATCAGTCTGAATTAAAGAAAATGATTACATCACTCCAAGTAAATTTAAATCATGTCTGTGGCTTACAAAAAAGATATCTGCAGAAAATGTTGTAAGGTACAGCTTGTGTCAAAATGAGAAGGTAAGATTTGGTGCCACTTTGGCCCCAAAATCAAAAATATTTCAAAATATATCAGATATTCACAACTAAATGTTTAATGTATGCACATTAATAAAACAATGCTGTTTTGGTTAAAAATGTATCCTTCCATGAATTATACAGCCATAAAATGACAGTTATTTCTGTAAAATGGTGAAATCATTCAAAACCTTGACTATTTAACCTGAACATGCTTCAAAAAAAAATATAGAGCATAACTGTTGCCCAAAAAGATATTTACACAGTAAGTTGATTTTGTGTTTATCTATTCACTGGCAAAATATTTTTGGGGCAACAGTTGTGCTCCATGTTAATTTAACCCAAATCTTCTTACAATAAGGCTGTTTTTTCTAAAAATCTTACAACTCTTGCTAAGGACATCACTTTAAACATATTAAAGATGGTACATTCTAATTGTGTCATCAAGGCTTGGCTAAAAAAATGTGATAAGTAATGACATCAGGCAAGTTTATTTTATGGTAAATTTACAGTGCCAAATATGCCCAAAATGTACCTTGTCTTTTGGATGCATTTCAGTTATTTGTAGTCGTAAAGAACTGTAGAAGTAAATTTAGTAAAATCTAAGGAAAATTTTTTCATGAGTGCACTGTATTCATGTTTGACTGAGGGTTATAGTGTCAATATCAAAATGACAGAATCAAAATGCTGTTTTTTTTCTTTTTTGTAGCTATTTCCTGTGAGTTAAAATGGTATTCACTATTGTCTCTTGCACCTTTATAAAAGCACAGGTGTTTTATCACTCCAAATTATCAGTCTTTCCACTTAGCCACTGGCCCACCAGCCTAGGCTTGTAAAACTACTATCAAGCCAATAAGAAATTCTACTACAGGCCAATAGAATCCTTATCCAATAAAAAAAAAAATATGTGGATCTGGTCTGTTGCTGCAAAAGTTTATCATGAATACTGTAATCAAATAACAAATAGGGTTTTCTTGAGTACATTTGAAATTAAAGAATATTTTCACAGATGAAGAGAAAAGAAATAGGTAGTTTTTCATGGTTTAAATATGTTAACCATGGAGACTGTGTCTGAATAACCTTATACCCATACATACCCATGTGGGTGGTTCAACTTTTGTTTCTCTTTTAAGGTCTTCCAATGCATTTATAAGTTTGTCTTTCTCTTCTCTTGCTATACAATAGATAATGCACTTTTCTTATTAACATTTAAAGGATAACATGATAAACATCAGTAGATAATATATGAGCTACGTTGGATAGAAATCGACCTAATGCAAATAAATATTAATACATATATTATCCTATTTCAGGTTGAAAAATATCTCTATGTAAAGACTGTAACTGTTTGAAAATTGAGTTGTTAAAAGAACCCTACAAAACATAACAAACATTCATCATTTATTTTGTATTTGAATCTTCCCAAATCAATCAAAGTTTTATACATGTGCATGTATATGTGTACTTGCATAAGGTCGATTTCTATCCGACACAGCTCATATGAGGTATAGACAGATTTTTTTTAAAGATTTCAAAGATCTACAAAACAAGCAAAACATATCAAGTTCTAAATAGATTGTCTGTATTGAGTTATTAAAATTGAAGAAATTCATATAGTTAAACCTTTTTATTCTTATGTTTTAATTCAGTATTAAAAATTGTCATTTTTTTTCAGTAGATCGCATCCATTTTATGCTTTTAAGTTTAAAGAGCCAATAGCAGTTGATAATGTTTATTAAGATCAGTCATCATTTGTAAGATTTTGAAAAATTAATTACTTTTATCATCAGCCACTTTCATCCAAGCCTCTGCTGCAGACACATCTTCAGGTTCAAACTCTTCCCTGACACCCTGAAAAATAAAAATGTCACGGTTATAAAACAAAAAGCAGCTAGAAAGGAGAAAAAAATAAGCTTTGGGGTCAAATTGGGCCCAAGGTTAAAAGTAAAACTAATTTGCCAAAAGTGCAAAATTAAACATTTCAAATGATGAATGTATGCACATGTATCTAAAAAACATTCCAGTTTCCAATATGGGTACAAATATTCCCTTCTCTTATGTTGCAAGACCATTAAATCACAGTTAATATCCTTTAGTGACTAGGAGAGGTATTATGTTAATATGATTGCCACTGAAACAATTACAATCCATTAAGACCAAAAGACAAAAAAAGTGAACAGTTATATTGAACTATAGGTCACCATTCTGCCTTCAACAATGAGAAAGACCAAGTAAATCTCAAAATATTGATTGTTAGACTCATGTACATGCTGAGAAATAATACAACTTAAGATTGCCAAAATGCATTTGGACATACAGATAGAGATACAGAAAATAAGTGTATGTTTACATAATTTTTTTGGGTGAGACATGTTTAACCTAAGTTGGAAATGCATGAACACTTGAAAATGTTTTTTTCAATCAAAATATATCTGTCCCTCTGAAACTAAAAAAACCATGTGTACAGAACAGTGTTACTAGCAGACTTACCAGACATCTTTTAGCTTTTAACAAACTTTTCATTATTTGATTAATCAGGATTTTATCAGCCCTTAATTATAATTAATGGACATTTAACCTAGAAAGGTACAAAAAAAGTAGTAGAAAGAGATGTACCAGGATGCTAAAAACATATTGTTGGTAGTAAAGAATTTACGACTATTATGCAAAAATCCTGAATCTTTTCAGTTATTGCAGGTGATAAATAAAATATAAAAAGTGTGAAAGTATCATTAAAGTGGTTTTGGAAAAGTTGTAGATTCAAGATGCCTACCACTAATAGCAGAAATGGCAACGTCCATATTCTTATTCAGGAAACTCCAAAAATCATGATTTGGCTAAAAAATATTGACGGAGCCCAATGGTAATATGTAAGATTTAGTTGTGGTTAGCTTATACAAAACTACCATCCACTTTTTAAGATACATGTATGACAAAGTCCATGTTTTGTTACATGTATATATGGGAAACCATGCACATTTCATTTGGATGATAACATGTAATAGGAGTTGGAAAATTCCTCTTAGGTACTTAAGATTCTCTCAAAATTTCATTGAAATCAAGTCAAAAGTAAAATCACAAAAATACTGAACTATGAGGAAAATTCAAAAAGGAAAAGTCCCTAATCAAATGGCAAAATCAAAAGCTCAAACACATAAAACGAATGGATAACAACTTTCATATTCCTGACTTGGTACAGGCATTTTCTTATGTAGAAAATGGTGGATTGAACCTATTTTATAGCTAGCTAAACCTCTCACTTGTATGACAGTGGCTTCAAATTCCATTATATTGACAACGATGCGTGAACAAAACAAACAGACACAATAGGTAAAAATGTCAAAAGTAGGGGTACAGCAGTCAACATTGTGTTATCATCTTAATCACTATAAAAACAAACAAATGTAACGAAGAAGCACAAAATGGCATACCGGTACATCAAATTTAACATCCTCATTTTGCTTTTTTATTATACGATTTTATTTATCTATGTAAAATCCTCCCATAAAGGATGGAAGGGTTTAAGTACTGGCGTAAAATCGCGCGTTTGAAATTCGCACAGGTAGACATAAAATAATTTTGTCGTTCAAAGTATGACTGGATACATAAGTACAGTCTCACGTAAAATGAATATCACAAAAAACAGACTTAACAGTAAAAGTAATATTAATAAATAAAATAATATTGTGGTTCAAAGTATGACGGGATACATACATGTAAGTACAGAGTAACGTCAAATGTATATCACAGAAAACAGACTTAACAGTAAAAGTAACATTAATAAATAAAATAAAAGAATACTATAACACGATATTAAGATGATAAACAACGTCAGTACGCAGAATCTATACTTCAAATCCATCGTGTATTATTTGTGAAGTTGATACGGAATATTTATCAACAAGGTCTTCGTACCTTTCCGATGAACTTTTTTAGAAAAAGGACGAGACGTTCTTTGACATACCCCTGGTTCATCAACTTTCTGCTCAGACACTGGTGACGTTTTACAAAGTCTGAGTAGGAGCTGCAAGCTCTTGAATACCAAATAAGTTGGGAAATGTATATCCCATATGCAGGTGAAGTTGGTATATTGCTACTAAGGTGGGGTAAATTGAGAATTTCAAAATTAAAATCATCTCACTTGTCATAAATTCTGGTACTGAGATGACTGTGTATGTCAAATTCGAGGTACAAGTCTAATAAAATGCTTCGCTGGGCGCAGCTTGATACGACCGCAGAGGTCGAACCCTGAACAGTTGGGGCAAGTATGGACACAACATTCAAGCTTGATACAGCTCTGAATTTGGATTGTGATTAAATATTTGACACAGCATAGGTTTCTGACACAGAAAGAATGTGGTCTAAGAACTTCAATTTTTTTAATTTACCTATTATGGTCCAATGCCCAAAATCAAAATACATGGTTAGATTCAGCATATCAAAGAACCCCATATATTCAATTTTTGTTGAAATCAAACAAAGTTTAATTTTGGACCCCGATTTGGACAAACTTGAAAACTGGTCCCATAATCAAAAATCTTAACACAAGTTTAGATTCAGCATATCAAAGTACCCCAAGAATTCAATTTTTGTTAAAATCAAACTAAGTTTAATTTTGGACCCTTTGGACCTTAATGTAGACCAATTTAAAAAACGGGACCCAAAATTAAAAATCTAAAAACACGGTTAGATTTGGCATATCAAAGAACCCCAATAATTCAATTTTTGATGAAATCAAACAAAGTTTAATTTTGGACCCTTTTGACCTCAATATGAACCAATTTGATAGCGGGCCCACAAAATAAAAAATCTAAATACATGGTAAGATTCAGCATATCAAAGAACCCCATATATTCAATTTTTGTTGAAATCAAACAAAGTTTAATTTTGGACCCCAATTTGGACCAACTTGAAAACTGGGCCAAAAATCTAAAATCTAAATACATGTTTAGATTCAGCATATCAAAGAACCCCATATATTCAATTTTTGTTGAAATCAAACAAAGTTTAATTTTGGACCCCAACTTGGACCAACTTGAAAACTGGTCCCATAATCAAAAATCTAAACACATGTTTAGATTCAGCATATCAAAGAACCCCAAAAATTCAATTTTTGTTAAAATCAAACTAAGTTTAATTTTGGACCCTTTGGACCTTAATGTAGACCAATTTAAAAAACAGGACCCAAAATTAAAAATCTAAATACACGGTTAGATTTGGCATATCAAAGAACCCCAATAATTCAATTTTTGATGAAATCAAACAAAGTTTAATTTTGGACCCTTTTGACCTCAATATGAACCAATTTGATAGCGGGCCCACAAATAAAAAATCTAAATACATGGTAAGATTCAGCATATCAAAGAACCCCATATATTCAATTTTTGTTGAAATCAAACAAAGTTTAATTTTGGACCCCGATTTGGACCAACTTGAAAACTGGGCCAAAAATCTAAAATCTAAATACATGTTTAGATTCAGCATATCAAAGAACCCCATATATTCAATTTTTGTTGAAATCAAACAAAGTTTAATTTTGGACCCCAACTTGGACCAACTTGAAAACTGGGCCCATAATCAAAAATCTAAACACATGTTTAGATTCAGCATATCAAAGAACCCCAAGAATTCAATTTTTGTTAAAATCAAACTAAGTTTAATTTTGGACCCTTTGGACCTTAATGTAGACCAATTTAAAAACGGGACCCAAAATTAAAAATCTAAAAACACGGTTAGATTTGGCATATCAAAGAACCCCAATAATTCAATTTTTGATGAAATCAAACAAAGTTTAATTTTGGACCCTTTTGACCTCAATATGAACCAATTTGATAGCGGGTCCACAAATAAAAAATCTAAATACATGGTTAGATTCAGCATATCAAAGAACCCCAAGAATTCAATTTTTGATGAAATCAAACAAAGTTTAATTTTGGACCCTTTTGACCTCAATGTGGACAAAGTTGATAATGGGGCCCAAAAATCAAAAATCTAAATACATGGTTAGATTCAGCATATCAAAGAACCCCATATATTCAATTTTTGTTGAAATCAAACAAAGTTTAATTTTGGACCCCGATTTGGACCAACTTGAAAACTGGGCCCATAATCAAAAATCTAAATACATGTTTAGATTCAGCATATCAAAGAACCCTAAAAATTCAATTTTTGTAAAAATCAAACTAAGTTTAATTTTGGACCCTTTTGACCTTAATGTAGACCAATTTGAAAACGGAACCAAAAATTAAGAATCTAAATACACGGTTAGATTCGGCATATCAAAGAACCCCAATAATTCAATTTTTGATGAAATCAAACAAAGTTAAATTTTGGACCCTTTGGACCTCAATGTGGACCAATTTAAAAACGGGGCCCAAAATCCAAAAACTTAATACTTGGTTAGATTCAGCATATTAAAGAACCCCAAGAATTCAAGAATAAAACCCCATTGAAATTGATCAAGAAATAAGCAATTTATACGAAGTATCTTCTTTTGCACAATACTGTGCAATTGAATATTTCTTGCTATTGTGCAATACTGTACAATTGACAATTTCTTGCTATTGCGCAATATTGTGCTATTGGATATTTCTTGCTATTGCGCAATACTGTGCAATTGAAGATTTCTTGCTATTGCGCAATACTGTGCAATTGAAGATTTCTTGCAATTGTGCAATACTGTGCAATTGAAAATTTCTTGCTATTGCACAATACTTATTATATAATAATTTACACATCCTGTTTGGTGTGTATCTCCTACCATATCATTATTATTTGCTTTTAAATATTAATCAGAAATAACCAACTTAAAATGGAAAATTTTAAAAGAAAAAAAAAAAGGAAAAAAAGAAAAAAAAAGAAAAAAAAAAATCCCCCCCCCAAATTTTTTGAACCCCCTTATGATTCATCACCCCCAACTCAATCCCAGCCTTCCCTTTGTGGTATGGTACCTTGCAGTACAATTTCAGAGAGATCCATACACTTGAACACAAGTTATTGTCTGGAAACTAGAAAAATGCTTATTTTTGGCCCCTTTTTGGCCCCCTATTCCTAAACTTTTCGGGCAATTACCCACAAACTCAATTCCAGCTTTCCCTTTGTGATATGGAACCTTGTAGTACAATTTCAGAAATATCCAAACACTTACACACAAGTTATTGTCATGAAACTAGAAAAATGCTTGTTTTTTGCCCCTTTTTTGGCCCCTAATTCCTAAAATTTTGAGGCAATTACCCCCAAAATCAATTACAGCCTTCCCTTTGTGATATGGAACCTTGTGGTACAATGTCAGAGAGATTCATACACTTACACACAAGTTATTGTCTGGAAGTTACAAAAATGCTTATTTTTGGCCCCTTTTTGGCCCCTAATTCCTTAACTGTTGGTACCATAACCCCCAAAATCAATCCCAACCTTCCTTTCGTGGTATTGAACCTTATGGTAAAATTTCATGGAGATCCATTCACTTAAACTAAAGTTAGAGTGTGAAAACCAATGTGTCTTCGGACGACGCCGGACGACGACGACGCCAACGTCATACCAATATACGACCAAAAAATTTTCAATTTTTGCGGTCGTATAAAAATGAGGCGGAGGAAGCCGTGTCTGTTGTTTCTTTAATTTCTAGTTCTGGTGGATATATTAATGGAACCCAATCAGTAAAGTTCGGATTGTAAATGGAAAGAACATCATCAATATATCTGAAAGTGAAATTAAATAACCTGGCTTCTTTGATCTTCTTGTTTTTGACAAGTGTCTGAAGGAACTCCGATTCATATGAAAATAAGAAGAGGTCGGAAAGGAAAGGCGCACAGTTCGTTCCCATAGGAATGAAGACAAAATTTGTTGAAAAAGTCTACCTCCATATTCAACAAATATGTTTTCAAAAAGAAACTCCAGCATACTGATCACTTGTTCCTCTGTGTAGCATGTTTTACCCTTTTGTTCACTATTAACAAAATATGCCTTATGGTATCCAAAAGTAATAAATTTATAGCGTATGCTACCATTTTTATGTTGAAAAGCATTGTGGATTATTTCTTTCAGACGGTTTTTCAATTTCACATGGGGAATGGTGGTATACAAGGTTGAAAAATCAAAATTTTGATAGAACTAATTTCAGAAAAAGACTGAGATTTAAAGTTCTTTAGAGTTTTTAAGAATCCACATATGCATGGTTAATATGTAACAAAGGGGTGCAGTTGGTATTCTTGTCTTGGTTCCCTAAATGTTACGGGGTCATGATTTTCACACCTTTAGTATGAATTAATGTCTTTCATATTAATTTCTGTAACTCAATAAATATATAAATCTGTCACAAATATTTGAACATCAATTGTCACTAATTAAGATTAACACATTATTTGTCTATACATGTATTGAATATTTGAATTTGTAAAATAATAAGTTTTCTAAAAGTCCAATTTTTAAATAAATGATAAAATTAGAATTAAGTCCAAATAAGCCTGGTGACAAATACCACTACACGAGTAAACAGTGTCACAGTATTTCTGAAGACCCTCTTTCACTGCGGACAGAATTTTAGTCAATCTAATTGACAATTCTTTAGTGGAACATGCATATGGGCCGGCAATGTACCGTTGTTTGTACGGAATTTTGTGAAGTTTAGGTATCCAATACAAACAAGGTAAGTCCTCCGATTTGTTGTTCAGTGCAATGTTCATTGAAGCCATGAAGGACTTATGATTCGCCAAAATCTCATCCTTGTCAAATGATATGTTTTTGTATGTGGAATTACCTGAGTGTTGAGTGTCAACTGATTGGGACTAGGTCCAAATGATATCAGTTTTGATGGATGGACCAACTTAATTACCAAACATGAGGATCACTTAATTACATACTGCAGTTACAGTAAAATATAAGTTAGGGCTATAAATATTAAGTAAGATCACTCACCATTGGATCTTTATACTGGTTCATAGCTGGTGAACTTTGTCTAGCTATAAACTTTTGTCTGATCTGTCTTCGTTCCATCTGATCATCGTATGGCATGAGGGCATCAACTTTAATTACAAAAAAGTTTCTGTATGCATAATTTATAAATAATACATTACATGTATCAGTCTTTGCATGAATTTTCTGTGATATCGTTAAAATCAGTATTTCAAATTTTACAAGAGTGAAGAAGATTTCTGGTCTAGTTAGTATCTATATATATATATCAACCATACAATCTCAAAATTTGAGTGAAAGGCAGAAAAGAAAATTCCGTAAGGATGGCATCGAACATATCAATCCTTCTTTACCATCTGAAAAAAAGAGAAAACGAGTAAGGCGCTTTAAACGTAGGTCACTAGAGACTGATTCGCCCTCCAACATTGTGGTCAATCTTTCCAAACACCAGTTAACGGAAGCTGAAACATCTCTTCTCTCGAGAGGCTTAAATTTCTGTCCTTTACCTGCCCCTGTCAATGAAACTAAATTGTCGGAAGACCTTGACAATTTTGCCAGAAGTCTACGCATTAAGGAATATTTCGCGTCGAAGGAGAACAACAACAGATGCTCGGATAGCGACTCAGAAATTTCAGAAGACGAAAACAACTACAAATTTATAAAAAAGAGTACTTGGATCCCTAAACCGAGCAAAAATGCCACCTTGGAATCATTTATTGACAATTTTAAGTCGGACATTATTAGAAATACAAGAAATAACAATAAAACTTTTGACAATCTTACCAATGAAGAACGAACTGCACTGAAAAACTTACGATCTAACGACAATATCGTCATTAAACCTGCAGACAAAGGCAGTGCAGTGGTTGTCATGGATAAATCTGCCTATATTCAAGAGGCTGAACGACAACTTGGCGATGCAAGGTTCTACCAAAAACTAGACTCTGATCCTACAACATCTTTTAGCAGAGAAATAACTGATAGTTTGGTAGAAATGCACAACGATGGTTTCATCGATGAAAAGACTCTAGAATATTTGAAACCAGAAAATCCAAAACCGGGCAGATTTTATCTTTTACCTAAAATTCATAAGGCCAATAACCCAGGAAGACCTATAGTTTCAGTGAACGGTCATCCGACGGAAAAAATATCGGAATTCGTTGACTTCCATCTTCGTCAACATGTTGAGGACTTACCATCTCACATCAAAGATACTACCGATTATCTTAGAAAATTGCAGGCCTTAAATCCACTCCCCTCCGACACGACACTTGTCTCTATGGACGTCACCTCCCTCTACACGAATATTCCACATGCAGATGGCATTGATGCATGTAAAGAAGTTTGGAATTCCCGACCAGTGAAATATCCACCTACTGAATGCCTGGTCAAAATGCTCACGCTGGTACTCAAAAACAACAACTTCACTTTTGATGGAGACCATTATCTGCAAGTTAATGGAACTGCTATGGGCACCAAAACGGCTCCATCATATGCCAACATATTTATGGGCAAATTAGAAAAACAACTCCTTGAATCTTCCATCGAAAAACCGCTTTCCTGGTTTAGATTTATAGATGATGTGGATATGAAATGGAATAAAAGTGACGAGGATTTAGATACATTCATCACTCATGCCAACAACATACATCCAAGTATCAAATTTACTCATGAGAAATCTAAATCCAAAATCACCTTCCTCGATACCTCCAGCTCGCTCACAGATGGCATCATATCCACTGATCTATATTCTAAGCCTACTGACCCTCACCAATATCTGTCCCCTAAAAGTTGCCATCCTGCTCATTGTACTAAGAGCATCCCGTACAGTCAGGCACTCAGAGTCAAGCGAATATGTTCCAACTCAGAAACAACTAAAAAACAACTACGTCAACTCGAAACCCGCTTGAAGAGAAGGGGCTACAAACACAAAACTATCCAAAAAGGCTTTCAGAAACCGGAAACTATCCCAAGGAGTAAACTGTTAGAATACAAATATAAAAAGAAAAATAAAAGGACTCCATGTGTTCTTACTTACCACCCATCTCTCAAAAACAGCTTCGGTGTCATTCGTGAGCATTGGAAAACAGTTGAAAAGAATTCCAAACTATCCAAGATTTTTCCCGAGCCTCCCATGATAGCTTTTAGGCAACCCAATAGTCTGCGTAACCTGCTGGTGTGGGCTGAAGTGTCTGATAATAGAAGTACTTCTGGAGAATGTCGTTCGTGTGATGAAAAACGCTGCAAATGCTGCCTACAGATGCATCACTCATCAACTTTTCACAGTAAGGCAACCGAAAATAACTATAAGATATTTTGCAATGTTAACTGCAAAAGTATGAATGTTATTTACATTCTAGAATGTTCGGTTTGTGGCCTCCAATATGTTGGTGAGTCAAAGCAGCCTTTCCACAAACGCCTCAATGGCCATAGGAGTGATATCTCTAAGAAGCCACTTCTCCCAGTTTCTCAGCATTTCAGATAGTCTGGTCACACACTTGATGACTTTAACCGCATGAAGATCCTAGTGATTGAACAGAACATTCACTGGAGTGATGCCCAACGACAGGTTCGGGAAAGCTTTTGGATAAAGGAACTTAATGTGCATCATCCAAACGGCATCAATAAAAAATACTAAGTTTTATTTTTCACTCATTTTGGGTTGTAAATATACACAGTCACGTATATTTGAGTATTGAGTTTTGTTTTATATTATGATGTTCAGGATTTTGGATTAAATCAATAGACCAAAACTTACCTGTATTATTGAGCTATTTTTATACATATTATCAGTATTGTTAAAATAATTGACACCGAAGAAGGCTATTTGTTAAGCCGAAATATTTGTCAACACGATTTATTAACAACATCTTCGTATAATACCATCTTATATTAGTATCGTTGTGCAAATCTCTAGACTTATATAATTTTTTCCTTATCTGCACAGTATCGTCTATTCTAGACGATCCGGTACATAGTAAATTTGCTGGTTGGTCCTTTTTATAGACTTCTATATATATATATATATATATATATATATCCAAGAGTACATCAGCAGATATGTCTCATTCTCATATTAACTGATTTTAACTGATTAATACAAACACAAAATAAAAAAAACAGTTTTACATGAAGATTAATATCATGAATATAAGCTACCATTACTAAAAATATTTCCATTTTACCTCTGTAAACATCTTTATTCATTGTAGAGTCTGGATTGTGGTACCCAGGTATATAATGAAGTCTATTGGTCAGGAAAACTCTGAAAGAGAATTAAATGTATATCATGTATATATGTTATGAATACAATGAGATGTTATATGCAGATTATTTCAATTTGAAATCAAGACTAATATTATGGTGCAGCAACTGATGCCATTTGTAACAAAAATGCATGAATGCAAAAGGTTACAGAACTAAAAATAATAGTTTTCTATTGCAGATACTTTGTCATAAAAACCTAATTAGAAATCCTTACATTTAAACCTTAAATGCAGCATTATGTAGACTAATTGTCTTTTCATCATTTTTCTTTTTTTTTTGTCCATTTCTCTTTGACTTATGAATTTTGATTGTCCCTATGGTATATTCCCCCTCTTCTTTTTAAACATGTAAGACTTAAAAATCTAATAAACATTAACATGTAAGACTTAAAAACCCAATAAACATGTAAGACTTAAAAACCTAATAAACATGTAAGACTTAAAAACCCAATAAACCTGTAAGACTTAAAAATCTTACAAAACATGATCAAAAGGACAAAACTTCCTACTCTGGCTGAACCTAGAATGAAGGGATAGTTAGTATGATGGCATACATGTACCGAATTATATAAATGCTATGTTATAAGTTATTATTATAAAAACACCTCATAAAAAAAAACAAAAAAAATGACCAAATTGAAATATGCCTAAGGGACAGAACCGAAATGCATACACTGTTGCATGTAATGCAATAGAATATTGAAAGTTAAAATTTTTTTTTCTCTCTCAAGAAATCAATTAAAAGCTAAATTACACTTCTAATGAAGAAATATTAATCAAATGCATTCAATATAATTCAGTGTTGAAAGTGCACATTTCTTTATCCATGGGACATAAAGCTGTTTTAAATTAGTTTCATATCCTTATTGATTCCATGTAAGTTTATAAAGCATAATACTCTGAGTATTATGGATGATTTAAATCCATTCAAATCTTACATATCAGTAATTAAAAAACTGGATGATCAATTATTTTAAAGGTGATTGGATTTTAATAAACATATCAGTTGATCTCCTAGTTTTATAGGTTTTAAAATATTACATGGTGCTATTGTTTTATTGTCAGAAATTTAAACTCAACAAAGATGGTCATAAATGATAAACAGTTTATTGTGAATATTAAAGCAGGGTTAACACATGGTTAAATCTGGTATTGTTTTATTGCAGGTAATAAACATGAAGGGTTAAAAAAAATTTAGGATAAAAAATTGTGTTGGTTTTGAGAGACCACTTTAATGACATTATTGTTGAATAATTTTTTTTTTTTCTTAAAAAAGGTACACTACAACTTTTACTGTTTTTGGTATACATGGATCAAATAAATACTACTACTATAAAATTACCTTAAAGGGCCTTAAATTATTGACTTTTTTTTCAATAATTACCTTATTCATATGAAAAAGAAGATAACTGATAGTTGTGCCTAGGTCAAATGTTTTTGAAACAGTGATGAAAATTATTAACTCCTGATGAATTCATTCATTAAAAAAATCTCTTTTTTTCACATAAACATCATTACATCATGTACATGTACTTAAAATAATATCACCAAAATAGAAAAAATCATTAAAAGCCCTTATTGACTTTTGATATATTATCATATTTTTCATTTATATGTTCTTATATTGTCATAAGAGCTAATCTGTCAAGAAACGAAAGAAAAAAAACCCACTTATAAATGGTATACATGTGCACTCTCATTTTGTTGTTTAGGATCTCTTGATTTAAAGACACATTAGAGGGCTATGATGATCTCCCATTAATTTAAATAATATTTTTTTTTAGTATCATTTGTCAAAAAACAAATCCAGTAAAAAAATAAGCCACTCTGATTTTTTTGTTAAATCATTAATGAAAGTGAAATAGTGAAATAACTATTCGCTTTTAGCAGCCAGTATGGTTCAATTTTGTCAAAATAAGCTAAGAAACATTGATGACGAATTATTCACTTGCAAGTGAATATTTCGACCTCATTGAATCCGTATTCATGTGAACTTCAATTTAACCCCTTAGCTAGACATGCTAGAGATGGATAACGCATGAATTGTTCCTATAAAGTTATTTAAAGGAAAAGAATGTCAACATTGAAAGTGAAACAAAAGTAAATCATTTGATTGACTGATTCGATCCACAAAAATCATTCTTATACAGGTAAAAACGATGATAAACATATATTTTTAATCTTTAATACGAAATTTAAAAGACATAGAAAAATCCCATTGCACGAGTTCGCTTAATCTATTTATATCTATATTTATGTTTACATCGCTTATATGGTCATCGGACGACTTCGGAGGTCAACGCGATAGTTAATTAAATGGCGTCAAGACTAAAATACACACGAAACGAAGCTACATATTATTGAGCCCATGCCCTGTGAATTGTTTATTTTAGACTTTTAATAGTTTGGATAAATGTTTTACATTTATACAAATCAAATATGAGAATTTGAGTCAAATCGGTGAACATGAATTTGACAGCTAGTGCCCCTTTAACAAGCCCAATTAGTCAATATAAAAAATCATAGACTTTTAAAAGCCAACAGAATTTTGTTACAGATGAGACACAGGATATTTTCAGTATAGTAATCACTTTGTGTTATGAGACCCAGAGTTTTAGTTAGGATTTTGAGGGGTTTAGTAATTTATGAATGACATGAAAACATATAATATCTTCTTGGTGTTTACTACTTAGCTTGATAGTAACTTTATAAATGCAGTTATTGTAAGAGTTTAGATACATGATGATGTTTAATATGTGTAGTTTCATCTAATTACATAGTAACTCAAAATACATCATTAATTTAATTTACATGCCATAGAGCATGTAAAGTGAGAAGAATGGAGACAGATCTTGAGTAGGTCCTTCAGTACTGGCTTAAATGATTATTGAGTTATCTTTTTTTGAATTTCTGGGAGGTGATTTCACATATACATGTACCTTTGTAAATCTTAAACACAATTGACCCTTTCCTAATATTCATGATTTTGAAAAAAGCAGTCACAGCTAGGCTGGCCTAATTTGGCCAATAAATTTCACAGCAGGCCAGTAGACATCTGTCTGCGAGAGTATCAGCAAACTGGATAGACATTAGTCCAAATAATTATGACGTCTTGAAGGGCTATTTTAATTTTTTTTCTGTGAAAAAATTAAAATAGCCTTTCAAGACGTTATAATTATTTGGACAAGACATATCACATAAAAAATCATACCACAGAAAAAACATGATTGACAATGTATGATTTAAGAACAAACATGTTAGATTTTTGCATTATTCATTTTTAACTTACTGACGTGGATGTGGCTTGTTTCGTCTACATCTTGAAGAAGGACGTGATTGTGTTGGTTCATCCAAGAATTTCCCTTCAAAATGTGAATTGTAAGTTGTTGGCTGGCGTGCTTGAGCTGACCAAATACGAGTTGCTTCATTTCTGATGTTCAACAATTCATTTTGATCTGGACCTGGATTATTGTACAATGCAAATTCCCTCAGTTTTGCCTTGTCAAGAGGCAGAGTTGCAGTTTTTGCTCTTCTTAAGTTAGTAACAGGATTTCCGTAGCCCGGTAGAATATGTCCCGTAGCCATTGTTTATTATTTGCTATATGTTTTACGACATGAGAAATTTAATGTCAAAATACTTAACTTAAGTAAAGCAAAAATTTCTGCAAAAAAACACCTGTGTTTACACGCACCAAGCAACAAGATAAAACCGGAAGCGGAAGTCATGCAGAATCCTATTTCCGGATGGAAATGATTTTACTTGTCAAGTTTTTTTTTCATATTTGGTGAATTTTAGATGAAATTCAGTGGTATCACATCTTATCTTTTAGAAGTACTCATTCTTTATATCATTCACACTCTAGTCTAACATGCTTTTGTTGAAAGTAAAACAAATCGCTATATTGTGAAAATAAACTGATGTCAGGATGTGGGAGGGTGCAGTTGCTGCACTTATTTATGCTAAGATAATATTACTATTAGACTCATCTTCTAAGAACAATATTCACTCTAACAATTTTTATTGGTTTCCACTGTTGATCTTACATCTACAATGTCAAATGTTTTTATTTACCTACATTTATTTGTCAATGACGATGATGCTTTCTTTTGGTCTCGCTGGTCTCGCTAAATAGTGACAAGAAGTGCTAAGAAGTAAAATTTAGGGTAAGGGGTCCTATCGCCCTAATAAGGTGTTTGCCATGAATTCGTTTGCCCATAGAGTCCAATCGTTAGCCCTAACTTAAAAAAAAAATTACTATTAATGGTAATTTAAGGTCTTATAAACTGATTCAGATATTGATACAGTAAATATAAAAGATAAAATTGAGAATGGAAATGGGGAATATGTCAAAGAGACAACAACCCGACCAAAGAGCAGACAACAGCTGAAGACCACCAATGGGTCTTCAACGCAGCGAGAAAATCCTGCACCCGGAGGTGGTCCTCAGCTGGCCCCTAAATAAAATTGTGTACTAGTTCAGTGAAAATGGACGTCACACTAAACTCCAAAAAAAAAAAAAAAAAAATGAAAATATATATTTCTCAAACATTTATGTCAAAATTCATGTTAAAACATGGATATATTTAAAAATTAATGGCTGGTTTTGGAACATTAAATTGCTCTATCATGTCTATTGTTATGTTTGTTTTTATTTAGAATTACTTTTAATGACTGTTGATTGTAATTTAGAATGCTGATCAGGTATAATTACGATGTCTATGATCTCACTGATTTTTGTAGTAATTGTTTTTGGTGGATTTATATTGAACATAACATGTTTTTAAATTATCAAGTTTAATAGCTTGAAATGAGTAAAAACAATAATGTACGAATTGTAAGACATGGAATGGAATTTTTTTTCGCAGCTTGGCTTCTTTGATCTCAAGGTGTTAGGACATGACTGGTGTATTATGCGAATGACTAAGTTCGAGTTGTATCTTGTTATACCTGTTTTGAAATTGTTAGAATGTATGAATAAAGATAAATAAATTCGGATTACTTTCTTTTCAGCTGTACACTTCAGTGCAAATAAAAGAAAAATAATCATCTAGTAGCAGCAATACAACATAAATATTCGGCTAAATTTTCAACAAACTTTAACATTTTACATTATACAACATGAAAAAAAAATGAAAGAAAAATCAGGGAGGACGGCCCAGTGTGAACATGTATTAAGGAGAACAAGTTTTGGTTGATTGGATCTGGATTCAAAATTTAGCAACCAGAAGACAAGATTAGCGATAAGAACACAAGATTAGCGATAAGAACACAATATTAGCGATAAAAAGACAAATTTAGCGACACGAAAGTTTATATTCCATTAAAACAAATAGATTTTAAGAAAAAAGTCAAATAATTATAATTAATTATATGTTGTTTTTTATAAAGTTTTAAATTTCGTATCTATTTAAAATTTGCACCAATTTTCTGTTAATAATCAGGTTTTCTTGTATGGGATATAAATAATACAATAGTTAAGTAAAAAATATAGTATGATACAGCATCACACATTTTGAAAGATGGATCTAACTGCTACATATATATTTTTTATAGGTATTACAGCAAATATCATGTTTTCCTGATCAATATTTACCTGGCATTTTAGAACAGTTAATGTTTATCTTATATTTTTTTTTACTGTCTTTGTTTACATCTTTGGGGAAAGCAATTAAAGAGCTTAAACAAATGATTGGTGCAGAAATATAAACATCACTAAACATGCTAAAGGAATAAATATAAAACTCCATGCAAAATGCTTTATTTGTGTTTCGTTGTCCAGAAAATACAGACATATTATGTGATATAAAGATACAATGAACTAAAAGCTGAAACCTGAATAAATATACATGATTTTATTTTGTTTATCCATCATTGAATGATATTTATATATAGTTTCTTGTTAATTGAAGATTAAAAGTAATTCTAATTCTAATATTTTTATTATTGTTTCATCATGTTCATGTGTTTTTATGTAAAACAGATGGTTTCTTTTATTGATTGAAAAAAAAACTATTTTATTTTAAAGCTTCAGATTTATACCTTAACACTAATACAGTTTCTTAAATTTTTTGGTTCAACATTAATGATCAGGAAAACTAGAAGGTGATAAATATTGTGTTCAAATCTTTAATTAGAAAATTGGTTCTGATAAACTATAGATGAATGTTTTGCCTTTTTCAGGTTAGACAGAAATGACAGCTATAAAACATACTCTGCATAGAGATGTCTTTCTCCCTAACGATGAACAACTTGTGGCATTCGTTCATGTCACAAAAGTGGGACGGAAAAAGAAAAATAGTTTTCTTTGTGCTGTTTGTAAGTTAAAGAATTAAAATATACATGTATAATATCATTTAGTTTACCATCATGAGGTCTGAGTACACAGTTATCGTCCTTTGATTTTCGTTGTCCACGAATATAGTCCCTAGTGTGGACAGTGTGTTACTTGCTAATTTTTTTTATACCCCTTCCAAATTTATTTTTCCATGTTTTATGACTCAAAAAGCAAGTAGGGGGGTGAAATGACACTGTAAAAAAATTTGGGTCATGAATTTTAAAGTAAAGTAGTGATTTGGTCCAGCTGAAAAATGTTAAAAATTAGCACTTCGGAAGCTGTCAAAAGATTTGAAGACCCCCTTAACATAAAATTGTCCATATTTTGAGTTAGAGCCGATGAAGTTTTCTATAATTTTGATATAATTTGTCCCAAAAGTAGTACAACACACTGTAAAAATATTATTGAGAAAGCGCAGGTGGGATTTTTTTAATTTTCATTTATTGTCTAAAAGAAATGCACTACGAAATAACTGTGTACTCGGACCTAAGAGGTGAAATCAGGAAATATAGAATCTGTACTTTGGCAACTTCCTCGAATGATTTGATGATGTCAATTTGTCAAATAGCATAAAACTAAAGTATTTAAACTTTTATTTCATAGAATTTCTGCAAAAATGACCAATTTGGGCATTTTATGGTCAAAATAAGCATTTCATAGCTTTTTCAATTTTGATGCATAAGTGGCATTCTGACTTTCTATCTGACAGGTTTTTATGTGTCAATATTTGTGTTTCTATGCTTCAATCCAGTTTTATTACTCATTTGTGAACTCTGAATCTACAGAAAAGAAGATTATCTCATACAATATGTGCAAAATGTGTTGTATATATGACCCTCTTCTAACGCCCTGTTTGGATCAAGTTAAATGTGAGGAGCTTGGAACATAAAAGTTGAAGTCCATAAATAAAGATCTCACTAAATTTGTATAAAAAGCACTTAACAATGTCTTTTGTACCTGTTTCATGTCACATAATATCTTTCTTTTCTTCTGTAGGATAGCAAGTGGTTCAAATATAAGCCTGTTGAGACTAAAATTGTATGCATGTTTTTCACTAAAAAGTGAAAAATCTTTGTATCAGACCATACTGTCTGCCAAAAAAGTTGAATGCAAGAGTCTTTTTGTGCTCAGATTTATTGTATCATGTCACCTGAGTATAGAAATGATAGAAAAGACACAAATTTTTATTTCCTATAGCTTCAATATGCATTTTTAAATGTAAATATGTGCTACGGCCTAAATTGACCCTAAATTATTTTCAGTCTTACTTGGCCTAAGACCCTTTTAAACTAATATGATATGTTATTTGTAAGTTTTCTTTCCATTTAAAGTACATTAAATACATATGTAAGGATTATTTATAAACAAAAAGATTTACAAATTTAAAATTGCTGGAAAATATTACATCTTCATGTAAGGCCCCCCCCCTTCATTGGAAAACCTCCATTTTTAGGCACAGGCTCATATAAATTTGACTTTTTAATAATAATGTTAAGTCTGATAAATCAAATGAGTACTCTATTGCTTTTAATACATAATATATTATATATTAAGGCATTTCAAAAGTTTTTTTTTGCAATATTTGAATTTTTTAAGCCCCAAATGTTGATAGTTGAAATTTTTCAATTTTAACGTCTAAATTTAACACGCAAAGTTGAATATAGAATTAGTCATATTGTCTATAATATATATCCTATTGCCATGAAACTTTGTAAGCAGTCTTATAATTTATTAAGCTTTGGTCATACCAAGTTTCATTAAGATTGGTCAACTTTTTCTACCCTATTAGGTCCGAGTACACAGTTATCGTCCTTTGATTTTCGTTGTCCACGAATATAGTCCCTAGTGTGGACAGTGTGTTACTTGCTAATTTTTTTTATACCCCTTCCAAATTTATTTCTCCATGTTTTATGACTCAAAAAGCAAGTAGGGGGGTGAAATGACACTGTAAAAAAATTTGGGTCATGAATTTTAAAGTAAAGAAGTGATTTGGTCCAGCTGAAAAATGTTAAAAATTAGCACTTCGGAAGCTGTCAAAAGATTTGAAGACCCCCTTAACATAAAATTGTCCATATTTTGAGTTAGAGCCGATGAAGTTTTCTATAATTTTGATATAATTTGTCCCAAAAGTAGCACAACACACTGTAAAAATATTATTGAGAAAGCGCAGGTGGGATTTTTTTAATTTTCATTTATTGTCTAAAAGAAATGCACTACGAAATAACTGTGTACTTGGACCATGACCATGGGCTGCAATATCCTAGATATTTTTAGTGAAATTTTATTTTGCTGTATACATTTAACATGTTCAATTAAAGGAAATTCTTGTATTGTATATTGTACATCTAATCTACACATGCAGGACCAGC